ATTTGAAGCCAGGAGCCAGGAGCTTCTTCTGGGTCTCCCATACAGGTACAGGGTTCCAAGGCTTTGGGCCATCCTCAGCTGCTTTCCCAGGCCACAAGCAGAGAGTTGGATGGGAAGCAGAGCTGCCAGGATCAGAACTGGTGCCTAGAAATGGTGCGTGCAAGGTGAGGACTTCAGCTGCTAGGCCACCGTGCTGGGCCCTGGAAAAAAATTTGTTTTAAGATTTATTTATTTTTGTTGGTGGCAGAAGAGAGAGAAGAGAGAAGATACAGAGAGAAAGATCTTCCATCCACTGGTTTACTCCAGCCACAATGGCTGGAGCTGAGCCAATCCAAAACCAGGAGATTCTTCGGGATGTCTCATGCGAATCCTGGATCCCAAGGCTTGGGGCCCCACTCTATTGCTTTCCCAAGCCACAAGCAGAGAGCTAGGAGGTAAGCAAAGTAGCTGGGATATGAACCAGTGCTGGTGCATGCAAGGTGAGAATTTAGCCAACAGGCTACCAGGCCCAGGGGTGCTTTTTTGATGTATTTTTAAAATGATCACTGTTAGTGTATAACAGCATCACTAATTTTTGTACATTGGTCTTGCATCCTACAACTTTCTTGAATGAATTTCTTAGTCGTAACAGTTTTTTGGTGGGGGCTTTGAGCTGCTCTATATAGAAGCGCATGTCATCTGTGGTGAGTCTGCCTACCTCCTTTTCAATTTAGATGCCCTTTATTTCTTTCTCTTGCCTTAATATTGAAAGAAAAAAAAATTCAAGCCTGCATTTTCTCTTTTTCCAGATCTTAGAAAGCCTTCAACTTTTCACTATTTAACAGGATGTTAACTCTTGGCTTGATGTATATGTCCTTTTTTTGGGTGATGTATGTTCCTTCCATGTTATAGTTTGGCCAGTTTTCATCAAGAAGGAATGTTGGATTTTATCAAATGCCTTTTCTGCATCTGTTGAGATGAGCATATGACTTTTTGTTTTTCATTCTGTTCATGTTGTATCTTGGCATTTGTTGATTTGCCAATGTTGAACTGCCTTTGCATCCTTGGGATGAATCTCATTTGATCATGTTGAATGATCTTTTCAATGTGCTATTGGATTCAAGTTGCTAGTGTCTGCTGTGTTCACCAAGGATGTCAGCCTGTAGCTTGGCTTTTTGTTGCTGAGTCTTTTTATGGTTTTGATATCATGGAAATGCTTCATCATAGAAAGAATTGTAACAATTCCCTCCTCTTGAGGTTTTTCTCTGGTCCTTAGTTCCAACTTTGTATCCCCACCCTCTCTTGCAATAACCATCAGGGTTGCTCCAGAGCCCCCCCTCCCCCAAACACACACACAAACACACTCACACTCTCTCTCCCTCCTCCCCCTCACACACACACACACACACACACAAATTAGAATAGATAGAGAACAACAAGGAAAGCTTAGAACCAGACAGGAAATGGTCAGCGTGGACTCACACATACCTTACTAGGTAGGACACAAAGATTAGTTACTTCTCACTAGGGTGTTGAAGATTTCTCTGCACACCCCTCCTAACACTGTTCTGCACCTCAGTTGTTGACATATGCCTTATTAGAGTTATAACCCAGTGTAGACTATCCTAAAATCTGCCAAGTTCAGCAAAATTATGCTTCAACACTATAAACTGCTGAATACTAAAATGAAAATGGACATGAGACAGCTGAATAGTACCCGATAGCCATTTTAAGGTGTATAGGAGCCGGTAGTATATAAATTAAAATTGAAATGTCAATGAAGTAGTCACAGGATGTAGTTAAAAACTTGCATTTTTTTTAACATATTGGTTACTCAACACCATGTCAATTAATTCCATAATGTTTTAAATTGTTGTTGATGTTATGTTGTGGTTTTAAATTGATCGGGATGATATTCTTCCGGCTCTGCCTTCAGAACAGGGATTGTCTCCCCAAGAAACCGTTGAACTTATCTGGACAATAAGATGCTGGACTCTATGCTTGGTATATGCTTGCAATGAAATAATCTTGACTGAATTTGAAATATAATACAGCAACAAGGTGGAGGAATCTACCATGGGGGGAGGGCACGGAGAGGGGTTGGGGGAATCCCAGTGCCTATGAAACTGTGTCACATAATGCAATGTAATTAATAAAAAAAATTATATATATAAAAACACAAACTATTACAGGTCTCTTTATCCCCTCCTCTCTCTATATATGTAAAGATAGATATATATCAATGTGTGTATGTATATATGTGTATATATGTATATATATACATGTATGTATGCATGTATGGAGAGATTATGTATAGATATATATAGAGAGGGGGTTGCTCATTTATATATATATATATATAAAACACATAACTACATAAACTAATCAAAGCCCTAACTTTATAGGGTACTTTTGCAACAGATAACTTTCAGCCTGTCATAGTAGCATGGTGTCAGCAATGATGGGTGGTTGAAATAAGCATTTCGCTTAGAAATTAGTATCCCAGTTAGATATTCACATCCCATATTAGAATGCCAGGCTTCATTGCCTGGCTCTGGTGCCTAACTCCAGCTTCTACTAATGTGGACTCCTTGAGAAGAGGCAGGTGAACTCTCAGGTCACTGAGTTCCAGCTACCCACGTGGGAGTCCTGGATTGAGTTTGTTGGCTCATGGTTTGGGCTAAGTCCAATTCAAACTTATTGCAGGTATTTGGAGATTAAAGCAGTTGCTGTGGGAGCACTCCCTTCACCCTGAAAATTGTTCCTGCATCATAAAAAAACTAATGTGAAGGGCAATGTCTTAGAAAGAATGATATTTATAGGTTGGCACAGTGGCACAGCATGCTAATCCTGTGCCTTATAGCACCGGAATTCCATACGGGTATTTTCCATCCAGCTCGCTGCTTGTGGCCTAGAAAAGCAGTGAAGGATGCCCCAAGTCCTTTGGACCCTGTACGCGTGTGGCAGATCCAGCATATATCTTTGAAACAATTATAAAAATCTCAGGAGTTCCAAGATTTCGAATTGTGATGACTGGCTCACATCCAGTAGAAACGAGTGGGGAGTGATGAGTGTTTGCTGTATGCAAAGTCATGAATTTATGTATAAATTTTTGTCTTAACTAAAAATCGCTATCATTCTCTTTCCAGTATTTTGAGATTTTTGTTTTGTCTTAACTTTAGATGTCCATAATAACAAATTCCAATCTTAGTGAAACTTAGCCCAAAAAGTATAGTTCATATCAATGTTTCTTAATTTTGGTTGTCTTGACATTTTTAAAACCAAGAATAACAGAAGTTAAGTGTTACATGTGACATTGTAAATATTCTGATGCACTAAATGAAATACCCTCTGAGTCAGGGGTGGTGTGTCCAGCCAGTAGATTGTGGCCTTCAAAATCATTTAGTCTGATCCTGCCAAAGCAATTGTGGGTGGGACTTGGAATTCAAAAAAATCTTTACCAAGCAGATCTTTTTTTTTTTTTTTATTCATTTATATGAAAGGCAAGATTAGAGAGAAAGAGAGAGAGAGATCGAGATCTGTCATCTTCTGGTTCAACCTTCAAATGGCCACAACCATGCACGGTCGGGCTAAAGCCAGGAACTTGGAACTCCATTAGGGTCATCCATATGAGTCATGGGGTGCCAAGCACTTGGACCATCTTCTGCTGTTTTCCCAAGCATGTTAACAGGGAACTGAATAAGAAATGGAGCAGCTGGGACTCCACTGGAACATGGGTGCCAGCATTGCAGGCAGTAGCTTAACTCTCTACACTACAACACTGATCCCTGTAGCTGGCTAATTTTTAAATTGATAATTTTGTGTGGCCTACAGATGGTGTTAAAATTACGTAAATGTCCTGTGGCAGAAAGGTTTCCTTACTCTGCCTTTGGTAATATGGAAGTTTGCATTAACTTTGCATATCTGTGCTTATTCAAAATTTTACAGGCAGGCTAAACATTGAATTGGAGTAAGATTATTTATTCAATAGGTTAATAGAGTCTGATTTTTTTTTAAATGAATCATTGTAGTTAATGAATACTGAGTTTAATTGAACTTTTATAACTTACAACTGTTGACCACCATGAAAAATGAAAGTCTAGGAATTTCTAATCATTTACCTGTTAGAACCAAAGAAAATCTTGCATTTGAGCATTGCTTTCAGATTGTCAACTCTAAGGATCTGCCAAAGGAGTCTTAAATTTTCGCTTGCTACTGTGGTAAAGGTGTAGCACTATAAGAATAGAGTACGGGTCTGTCAACAGTGAAAACTTTGGCACTGGAGATTATTATATCTGTGAGACAGTGTTTTGAGTTTGCCTTCAAATGTACCTTTAGAGATGACCTTCTGAATCTGAGCCTAAAATGTTGAGTTTCCTCAATTCCTGGAATTAAAACATATTCATATCTACCTATCCATATAGGTATACACATATATATGGATATGTAAGTTGGGACAAAATAATGATGTGTGGAATAAATGAGAATCTAATTTACCAAGTCCTCTAGGAATGAAGTTACTGGAAGAGAAGTTAGTGTGGTTGTGAAAGTAGAAATATAGACCTTTGCCACCATATGTGCTTACTGGTAGGTGCTTGCTAGGCTATAGCTACACTGGGCTTCCTTAGCATTGGATAGGAATCCATCCTAAGAGAAGGCAAGGAACCCACAGGAATAAAAGGGAAGCAGTGCAATCAGAGAAAAGGCCTTGTTCTGAGGCCTGTAAATCTTCTATACATTGATTTTTAGAGCAGTCTTTCTGACAGAGTAAGAACTGTTTTCATTACCAGAAGTATTATCTAATTAGTTTTGTACCTTATCAAGTTGGTTTGTTTCTGAAGAAAATATGCATATTTACCTGAGAAAGAAAGAAAAAGTAGGTGACTTCACTCTTCTAAACAGACTGTCTATAACCAGTGTAAGACCAACAGTATCACACCTACATGACCAAGTAAGTAAGACAGTGAAGTGTCAGAATAACTAACCTTGCTGATTGATGTTTTCCTCTGCCTTGGTCTTAGGGTTTTGACCCACCACATCAAAGTGACACAAGAACAATTTACATAGCCAACAGATTTCCTCAGAATGGCCTTTATACACCTCAGAAATTTATAGATAACCGGATCATTTCATCTAAGGTAAGGATTAATCCTTCCATTATTAGAACTGTAGATATGCTATCACTTTATTTTGAAAGTGTTTTAGCCTGTGTTTTTTGATTACAGATTTATGTTCATTACAAATTCATGAAACTGGTGATAGATAGGTTTATCTTAACTAAAAATAATGAAATATAAAATAATAGAAGTTGTTAGCTACTGATATCAAGTAGTCAACATTCAAAATTTTTTCTTTACTGTAATTTAACTGAGAACTAATATTTATACTGTGTGTCAGACACTGTATTTCTCATAGCTTCTCACGTTTCCTGCAACCCTTTTAGATTGCTGTCATTAAACTTATTTTACAAGTGCTGTTATACTCATTTTATTGTGTTGCTACGATTAAAGTGCTGGGATACACTAGTGAGAAGCTAAAGTGAAGTTCTGTGTAACTTTAAAGCCTGTTTCTTTCAATTTTACCACTGTTCTCTAAACGTTTTATGATACTAAAGTATTGTCTTTGTTTCATTTTTCTCTATGGCATTTGTAACATGTCTGGTTTATTTTAAAAGTGAAGGTTATTAAGTAATACCATCAATAGACTTTTCACTCTATGGAAATATCTCTGCAGTGTCTAGTAGGAGCCATATACGGCTACCAAGACCTTGAAATGTGGCTGAACTAGTGGCTCTGTGTTTGGACAGTCCAGTAATAAGGGTGCGAATCAAAGATACTAAGAATAATACTCTTGTCATACCATAGCTGTTGTTTGAAGGAACACCATCAGAAATATCATCACCTTTCTTCCTTTCCAGAGCAACTAATGGTTTTGCTCTAATCTGGCCAAACCAGATCAGATCTACTATAGTCTTGATGTCATTTTGCCCCATGATGTCCTATGGATGGTTTCTTTTCCCTGCCCTCTTTTTTCTACCCTTATGTTTACATATGTAAACTCCCATCAGTGATGTCTCTAATTTTGGACAAAGGTTCTGAAACAAGGAGTGTGATGAGTAATATCAGAAAGTTGGATCAGCTTCAACCACAGAATGCTGAGCAATTTATGCAAGAAGTTTAAGACTGTTTAGTAACTTAAAGTATTATTTATTTACTACTATAAATTCAGTTTTAAGTATCTAGTTTGATCAGCTCTGACAGTTGTGTATCAGGTGACCACTACTGATATAGTTGATAAATAGAATATATCCATCACTCACAAAACTGTCTCAGGCTCCTTTGCAACATTTTCTTTGTTGTCACCAATAATACCAATTTTAGCTACTGCTCCTGTGATGATTTCTGCTTTCTGTGACAATAGTTTTGTCTTTTCTAGAAGTTCGTACAGAACAAATCTTGAAGTTTGACTCCTTGTTGCTTAGTAGAATGTTTTTGAGCTTCATCTGTGGCTGCAGATACCAGGATCAGTATTTTTCTCATGTGTAATATCGCTAAGAGTTTGGGCTTGCACAGTTAAGTTCCGAATTTGGAGCCTTTTTTGTGTGACACTTTTCCCTGCCTACGTTTTTCCTTTTTTATTTCCAGCCATGAACTCTACTCTCAGCCACATTTTGTTGATAAGCCTATAATTTTTCCCCTTACTTTTTTCTTACAGTGGCTGTGGGTATTAGAAAGTATCTGCAAGTTAAGAAACCCAAAATTCACAATTTATACTCTTCCCATTTTCTGAGTATTTTTTTTAAATTAAACTCTTCCAGTTTCTGTCTAAATTTTGGACACTTCCCAAATTTTTAGATAGCTTTTTTTTCCTTATCTAATTTATAATTCTCATCTCCTGGGAATTCATACGATCAGTTAATTGCCCTGCCAGTGCTGGAAGCTGAGTGTTCTTCTTGAAGACAGTTCCTATCATTTGTAAGCTAGCTTTCCTAAGAAATTTTTATTTCTTCAGAGATTTCCCTTGTGTTATTAAGATAACCAGAGAAAATACATGGAAACCTGTTACCTACCAGTTTACATGGTTGCTCTCCTCCGGATTCTGTAAGACAAAATAATATATTGTCACTGTTAAGATTTAAATAGATTAATATAAGCTTAAAACCTTGCCAGCACAATTCACATAAAGTTTATGTATTTGATTTGATGACTGGGGAGAGTACATGAGATATTTTGTCCCCCATATGGACAACTGCCTTTTTATCCAAATTGCAGTTGCCTAGAGCTTTCTTGACCCAGTGTTAAATAGTGACATCTTTTGGTTCCAGAAAGTATCATATCAGCCTGTGATGTGGCTAATGCCCTGAGCGTGATTCCCATCCCTTGATTCTAGAGGCGCTGGTGCTGTTACTCCTGAGGGAAAGCACATTTCACATGCAGTGCTAGGTTAAAGCTGAAGATGTAATTCTACCAAAGAAAGAATGTTAGGTGTTATATACCTAGAGAGATTTATGTTGGGTATGTCTTGAAAAACCTAATTTTATTTGCAAAATTTGCCTGAATAGGAAAGCACACTTCAGATCCAAATGGCTGATTAAGAAGTGAATTTGTAACATGAAAATTTACAAGTAACAACTGACTTGCATTAGAGCAGAGAAATGTAGGTTACCTGCTCCTTTAAAAATCTTGAATTGGTTAGTAATCATTAAGGCTTCATCTCCAGATGTTGTGAAGTTCATCTGAAAAAAAAGCATATCTTACTCATGTTTATTTATTCCTCTTTAATTGATCTCCAGTTATGTGCCAGTAGAAGTGTGAATACTGTTGATACAGAGTTCATGAAACAATGTGCCTGGCCTAACCTAAGGGATCTTTCATTCTACTGGGAGAATGTTCTTGGGGTGAAATAAAAGTTCTCTAAACTCTTTCCCTATTTCATATATGAAGTTATGTTTTGAGTAATAAGTCCAATAAAAATTTTAGTGTGTTACACTGTCCTTGTAATATAGCATTATAGATTTAGGAGCTGATTAATAACAGGAACAAACACTTGTATAGTAATTACTGTGCACAACGCTTACCTTCAGTATTTCATAGATGTGTTCAGTTGCCTTTTTAAGGCCTTTATAGTGTATGATTTTATTATGCACCTTTTATAAAGGAATGAGGTGGAACACAAAAAGATTAAGTTCCAGGTCAGCTGATAGGAGCTGCAATTAGGAGATTAGGGCAGTTTAATCCCCAAGCATCTAGGCTCTTGACCACTGTGTTCTGTCATACTTTTTAAAAAAAAAAGATTTATTTGTTTTTATTACAAAGTCAGTTATACAAAGAGGAGAGACAGAAAGGAAGATCTTCCGTCCAATGATTCACTCCCCAAGTAAGCACAATGGCCGGTGCTGAGCAGATCCGAAACCAGGAGCCAGGAACTTCCTGCAGGTCTTCCACACGGGTGCAGGGTCCCAAGGCTTTGGGCCATCCTCAACTGTTTTCCCAGGCCACGGGGCTGCCAGGATTAGAACCGGCACCCATATGGCATCTTGGCGTGTTCAAGGCGAGGACTTTTAGCCACTAGGCTACCACGCCGGGCCCTGTCATACCTTTTAAAACTGACGTGACCAATTTTCATGTATTTTGAAATTTTCTAAGTAGTTATTCCAGTGGTCACTTACCTAAAGCTTTTTTTCTTTAGCATTCTAGATTATTTTTCCATATTCTATAATGAGCAAAGAGTAATTTTGTATTTAGCAAATTCCTGTTTCTGACATTGAACCAGATTAACAAAATAAATGATGAAGTACTATGTTAGATCTACTTTCTCTAGTTCTAAGAGAAAATTAAGATTTTACTAGGAAGATTGAGAGGCTCCAATTTATCTAATTTTTTAAAATTATAGTAAGAATGTTAGTAAATGATAAAGAAAAACAGCAAGAGGAATAAAGGTCCTCAATTCTAGAAACCAGGTAAATAATTTCTAAAACAACAGTTCCATGAATTTGTCTAAGGTTTTGGTAACTCTTTATTTTGTTTTTCTTCTCGTTAAATGTGTAATACTATATACTATTTTGAAATATTAATTTATTGATTTCTCTTTTGCTTTCTTGTTTTTAGTATACTGTGTGGAATTTTGTTCCCAAAAATTTATTTGAACAGTTCAGAAGAGTGGCAAACTTTTATTTTCTTATTATATTTTTGGTTCAGGTAAGCTTAATCATTCAATGATTATTAAGATTTTAAACGAGGTTTCGGAAAATGCATCTTAGAGAAAAATTACACTTTGTTCTTAATTGTCTGACACTATATATTTCTGCAAAGCTTCTCCATTGTATTCAGTGAATATGAGGATCTAAATCACATCTAAATTTCTAAAAAATTGCCTCTGATTGTCAAGATTAATTGTATTTTATTTCATCACCTATGTACGTTAATGCCTGTGCCTCTTAACATAAATATTTGGACTTGTAAGATACAATCCCTATCTTTGTATGGGTTGTAATTTTTTTCAATTGTTAAGCATCTCCATAAGATTAAAATTCTCTTCATTACAGGCTACTTGACAGTTTTGTAATTCTCAGATTGTATAAGTGTTTTGTGTATTACTATTTTATAAATACTTTTTAAAATTGAACAGAATCGGGAGCACACACACACATTCATCTGGGCTAGACAGTAAGACACCCATATCGCGTATTGGACAAATAGTGCTCTAATGTCTGCTCCTGATTGCGCTCTTGCTAACGCAGACCTTGCAAGGCAGTGGTGATGGCTCGGGTTATTGCATCCCTGCCAATCATGGCAGACATGTTTCCTGCATCCCAGCTTCTGCCTGGCCGAGTGCTGGCAGCTGAGGGCCTTGGAGGAACGAGCCGGTAGAGGTCTGTCTCCCTCTCTGTCGCCCTCCTCTCTCTCAATTTAAAAAAACGGAAGTGATGTTATTTTTTCCTTTGAAAAGCTTTTCTCTGTTAAGACTTTAGCATTTCTTTTCACCGTGACATTAAATTTTATATAATCTGAACTTTTCTGTCAGTAGAACCCAGAATTTCAAAAGAAAAATTGAAACTTGTCAAGCAATCACTTTAACACTTTAGAAAACATTTACTTAAAAAAAAAATTCTTCCCTTCTTAAGCAGAGAAGGAACTCCAAGTTTTCTATCAATAGTGTCAGTTTGCTTTCTTGGAAAAAACAAAAACAGTTTATGTAGACGTGTACTTTTGTGGAATTACTGGCTAAAACCAGGCATGTAAAATTATCATGAAATAGAGCAAATGAATGGCCTGTTCAAAGTAAAGTATTAATAAGTCGTTACATGTATGTCCTGACCCCAGGTGATTGCCACCAGTATGGCCAGTATGTGTTTAATTTTTGTTTTTAACTGATACATTAAAATTATGGAAATTTATGGGTTAGCATGTAATGTTTCAATATATTTAGACATTTTGTAATGTTCCAATAAGGATAAACGTTTCTAGCTTTTCAAACATGCATCATTTCTTTTTATTACACATATTTTCTTACTTCTCCCATTGTTTACTGAAACTTCGATTTTGTCGTAAGAATATAATTGCAACATCATTTTTCCTCCTCTATCTCCCTCTGGCTGTAATGTAAAGAAAAAAACTGCTTTCATAGTCTGATCATTGGTTCTTTTTTTTTTTTTTAATATTGAGTTTTTTCTGAGTTCCACAATAAAATTTGCTGACACACTTTTCAGCATTTATCAGGGGGTGTGATTGTCTGTGGGTATATGAGCTGCTCTTGCTCCACTGGTAGACAAATAATAAGGAAGAATTAATACCTGTGTGTTAAAGGAAAGAGAGAATGATTCCACTGTGGCAGTATAGTGAGTGTGCAATAGATTTAGTTTACCAATCCCACGTAATAGCCAACAACATGAAGCTGTTAGATTTTGGTTATACTCACTGTGCAGCATTGCAAGAGTTCAGATGTAATGGTGTGATATGAACAATGTAAAAATATAATAATCTTTTTTTTTTTTTTTTGCTAGCTTATGATTGATACACCTACCAGTCCTATTACCAGTGGACTTCCATTATTCTTTGTGATAACAGTAACTGCTATAAAACAGGTATGGGAACATTTTCTGTTGCTTTCCCCAAAGTCACTCAGAAGATATTAAATACTTGCGTTTCCACTCCAAAATGTTTGTGGTTGTGAAAATCATTTCTGTAAGAAAGCAGCAAGTTTCTTTGCTATATGGCAAAATTAAACTAAACGACTATGCTGTGTTTCAGTACCTTATGGAATGATTACAATTGTTCAAATGTTATTTTCTTTATATACCTAAGGTATTCAGAAACAAGTGTTGTATACGAGAACTTGTGGAAAAAAGATTTATTTTAGCACAAAAAAATTTAATACATTCATAGATTTTTCATAATACATTTTTATGAGCTTTTAAAAATGCCTTCATATGTATAATAAGTTAAAAATAATTTTATTGAAGTAACATGCTCTAGAATTATGCATTTGACTTAAGGAACTCCTTAAAGTATGATCCAGTGGAGAAGGGTTCCTGAACCCTGGGGACGGGGAAACCAGTGGGGTATGGGTCACTTGACCCAGATCCTGGGGCTCACCTTCTAGGTGAGTGTTGGTTTCGTGAACCCTGTGGGTAGGGGATCTGGCAGGACTTGGGTCTCTGACTCAGGTCCTAGGGCCCACCTACTAGATGGATTTCAGATTCATGAGCCCCAGGGTTGGGGAATCCAGCACGGCTCAGGTCACCTGGCCTGGGACCTGGGGCCTACCTGGGAGGTAGGTGCTGGGTTTATGAGCCCCAGGGGTAAGGGATTAGGTGGGGCTCAGGTCTCCTGTCTCGGGCCCTGGGACCCACCTAGTAGGTGAATGTTGGGTTCCTGAACCCCAGGGATGGAGGATCCATGATGCTTGAGACACCTGGCCCAGATGCTTGGACTCACCTGCAAGAACATGCCCTACATAATGAAAAAGGTAGAATAGTGGATACAGGCCCTGTTGTTAAAAAAGAATATGCAGCTCATTTGGTGCTGTAGCAGAAGAGAACTAACTAGAAGACAACTACCCCAAACAAACAATGACAGCAAATCTTGGTGAATGGAGCCAATGGACATTGGAGGGTGACATCATTCTTAGATTGGTGAAATTGTCAGCATTTCAGAATTATCTAAACCACTTGGACAGATCTCTCAGAATATGTACACATTGAGACTCTGGGTTGATATGAGGTGGCAGTTCCTCATCCCTGGATACTGGGACATGTGGAAAGCCATGGGTGATTTCCCCTTTTGTCTCTCCCCTTACCCCAGAAACAACAAGAAGAAATAGCAAATTTGGAAGCAATGAATTCACCCAATTTTCCCTAATCCTCAATCCTTCCTACCCTGATCAAGCGTGTAATCATTATTTAAAAATATATAAATTCATAAAATAATGAAACAGATATAAATGCCAAAATAAATTTGACAAAGATTTTATAATTCTGGGATGGAATTATTCTTTATCACTTATATAAGACAACTAAAAGGAGCCTGTGGATTAGCAGATATATTATGCATCTGGTGTGTCATGATATTATACCACAGCTCTCACTAAATTTGACTTCCCTTTACTCTTCTGTAGGAGATAGGAAATTGTATGTAAGTTAATAAGCATGCAAGTCTCTTTATATCATTACATATTTATTTGATTTTGCAGATGTCATTTCATCATAGTAAGTCTCTGCTAAAACTATTCTCTGAATTTCAAAGACAAGTATTGTATTGTGTTTCCACTTGAACAACTTAGAAGAGTTTGAAACAGAGCTCTTTTAACCCTCAGTTTATTAAATGACACTACCATCCACCACCACAAACTTTGGCACCTTCATCCTTGACCATTTTTATTCCTATCTTAATTAATCCAAGCCATCATTATCTCTTTCCTGGACATTTGCAATTCCTCTGCCTGTACTTCTCTCACTTTGCCTCCTACAGTTTTCACACAACAGGCAGATCTCTTAAAGTCAGATCATACTACCCTCCCACCTTAAAGCTGTTCAGTAGCTTCCCATCACACTCAGCAGAGCCCAAGTCTTTCTAGGGATGCTGAGGATCTGCACAGGCTAGACCCTGGTCCCTTCTTTCGCTTCGTTTCCCAGCAGCCATACTCTTCTTGTCCTTGGAAGTGTGCATGCTCCTGTCTCAAGCCTTTAAGAATTGCTGTTCTTCCTGAGAAGTTCTTCCACCAGATAATTATACAGCTGAATTTTTCATTAATTTCTGGTAATTGAAATTTTGACTTTTCCTGACAAAAGGTGATAAAATGATTTGAAAAGTCAAAAATTTCCACCTTCCTTTCTTCTCTTATACCCTTTTAGGCCACCTCTACCCCTCATATTTTTATCAAGATACTTTAACGAGTGAAGTACTTATAAGTACTTACTTATTTTTAATTTTTCCTAAACATATGCTCATATTAAGTCCTTTCTTCATTTCTGTACTGGAAGATGTAGTGTTTTGGTAAAATAGTCTTTGCTTTCCATAAAGCTTGAAAGTCTGTGAAGTACAAAGGTAAGACAAAATATAAAATTATTTTCTCTTCCTTTTAAAAGAGAATCACCACTCTTTACTTTTTTTTCTTTTTGGTAAAGTGGCTGTCCATGTTTCTCTTTTGACACATGTATTTTAAAGAACCAGAGTTTCAGTATTGTTTAGCCAAAATACCTGGTACAAGAAATGTTTTAGGTTTTTTTTTTTTTCTTTTTTTTTTAAAGATTTATTTTTATTATTTTTTCATTGGAAAGGCGGATATACAGAGAGGAGAGGCAGAGAGGAAGATCTTCCATCCGATGATTCACTCCCCAAGTGAGCGCAACGGCCGATACTATGCCGATCCAAAGCCAGGAACCTCTTCCGGGTCTCCCACGTGGGTGCAGGGTTCCCAAGGCTTTGGGCCGTCCTTGACTGCTTTCCCAGGCCACAGGCAGGGAGCTGGAAGGGAAGCGGGGCTGCCGGGATTAGAACCAGCGCCCATATGGGATCCCGGGCGTGCAAGGCGAGGACCTTTTTAGGTTTTATTTTTTTGATGAGAGAAACTTAGAACATTTGCATATATGTATTAAGATATATTCAGGGTAGGACCCCAAGCCTAAACACAAAATCTATATTTAAAATATACCTTCTAGACATAGACTGAAAGTAATTTTACACAGTATTTCTCATGATTTTGTGCATAACACAAAGGTTCATGTGAGATCAGGTATGAGATTTTCCATTGACATGTCAGTGTTCTAAAAATTCTGGATTTTGAACATTTCCCATTTCAAATTAAGGATACTCACCCTGTTTCAAATTAGGGGTTCTCAGCCTATAATTACAGTTGGTGAGTGTGAGCTGTTTAAGAAAAGTGTAAAAAGAACTGAACCTCAGTTTCAAAATCTATCTTGTTTTCTGCTTATTGTCTGATAATTCTCTGGATTTATGGTTTTTCATTAACGTTTCATTAGCACTTAGAAGCAGTTGAATTTAATGATTGAATAATGTTAAGAAAAGTTAGGCATCGTAAGTTGACTCCGCAGCTTATTAGCGTGAATACAGTGATGAATAATGCTGGCTGTCAATTATCAAATAATAATATTTATCAAAGTGAGAAACATCAGAAATGCAGCAGACTCTGAGAATAACTTCATTCTTTTAAGTGTGTTCAAGACATTTGTAAGACATTTGAAAGGGGATACTAATAATATAGTTAGATATTCAAGCTTGGAATCCAGAAAGAGATAGCTAAAGATAAGAATTACAGAAGTGCCCATATGGTTATGCTACTTGAAGATAGAAATGAAAGAAATCTTCTAGTAGAGGGTAAATTCTGAGAATGTGTCCTAAAAAGGTGTAGGAAGGAACTTCCTGGAAGGAAACGGAGACGTAGCTAGCAATGTTCTGTGAAAACCAGGGGCAACTGAATGATAACAAAAGAAGAATGTTTCTAAGTGGAGATGACCATCACATACTTAGGAGTGTACTTGTCAAACAGCCAAACAATTCTAGTGAATGAAATTCTTTGCAGAAGTTTTAATTTTTTTTTCTCATTTGATAAAATTTTCAAATTATGTTCCTTTTTATTCTTTGGATATTTACAGGGATATGAAGATTGGTTGCGGCATAACTCAGATAATGAAGTAAATGGAGCTCCTGTTTATGTCGTTCGAAGTGGTGGCCTTGTGAAAACTAGATCAAAAAATATTCGGGTATGCATCTGGTAAATTAGAAAAATTTTTTTGGCATTTTGATAACGCATAATTCTAATTTCCATTATTTTTAGTTGCAAACCTTTTCTCTTATGAGCCACTTTAGATTGAGATACAAATATGTTTCTGCCTTTTAAAATGTGTGTATTCAGTGCTGCCCCAATTCCTCATAGGTGGGGGATATCGTTCGAGTAGCCAAAGATGAGATTTTTCCTGCAGACTTGGTGCTTCTGTCCTCAGATAGACTTGATGGTTCATGTCACATTACAACTGCCAGTTTGGATGGAGAAACTAACCTCAAGGTTTGTTCATATGTATTTTTTCTTCTTAATCTTAGTAAACAAAGTATAGTGAAACATATGTTGCTCTAGTGATATTTTCCTTTGCTTTAAATGACCTAATAAAGGAAAAATGTTTTTAATTACTGGAACTTTTAAAAAAAAACTATAAGGTTTTTTTAAAAAAAATTAATGTTACTATTTATTTCAGTAGTAGTCTCACATGGATTAGTCAATTCAAAAAAAAAATTGAAAGTATTTTTAGGAAACATTCAGTCTTCTGATGTTTTTCATCATGATAAAAGATAACCAACAGATGGAAACTTTGTCAGAGTACAATCAAGGGTGAAAATTCACGTGTTTTTCCAACTCAATTGCTTATGACAAACTTTGAACAGTGACTACACCTGCAATTATTTTGTATGCAAATAGCTCCTGGAGTTCAATTCAGTTCTTTTCCTCCCTAGACACATGTGTCCGTTCCAGAAACAGCAGTGTTACAAACAGTTGCCAGTTTGGATACTCTGGTAGCAGTGGTAGAATGCCAGCAACCAGAAGCAGACCTATACAGGTATGGTGCAATTATACAGTATCCTCACTCGAGATGTCCTTTTTACAAACTTCAGTTTAAGAACCAGAATCATAAAATGAAATCTGTACCTAAATGGAGGCATTGTATTTGGGAGATTCAAGGGAAGTGCCATTTAGATGGGAAAAGGCTGTAAGAATTTTCTAGAATTCTTAGTATAAGATATAATTCAAAAGAATGTTGTTGTCCACCAACTCTTTCGCACTACCTTCTACTTTAGTATGCTTACTTCAGAGTTATAACAGTAGGTAGTAAAAGTTTAGAAAAAGAAATAGCAATTGTTTTTAATGAGTTTCATGAAAACAGTGGCCACATTTTGGGTTTTCCTACTATATATCTGTTTTAAAAGATTTTTAAAATCAGAATCTTACTATAACAAATAAAAAAAAAAACTTCCTTTTAATCTCTTTAATACCTGTAAGTTACTGAAGGACAGAAATGATTCCTCCATTATGATAAACACAAGATAGTTTTTCTTTAATTTTTTAAAAACATGAACAGAGTTCTCTCTTCTGCTGGTTCATTTCCCACATGTCCACAATAGCTCTGGCTGGGCTAGACTGAGACTAGGAACCCAAGACACATTCTGGGTCTGCTGTGTGAGTGACAGAGACCCAAATACTGAGCCTTCACCTGCTGTCTTCCCTGATGGGCGTTAGCCAGCAGCTGGGAGCTGGGATCAGAACAGAGCCAGGGCCTGGACTCAGGTATTCCAGTATGCCCCACTACACCCCCACCTTTTTTCTTTTTTTAATGTGTTAGATTTTTATAGAGCTTATTTCTGAAAGGAGGGAAAGGAACAGAGGAACTAACTACTTTGAACATTATGGTTTACTAAATATGAGTTTAGGATAAATCATCTTGGATTAATAAATATAGGAAACTAAACTCATTTTTGCTCAATAATAGTAAACTATAAATTACGTATGTATAAACCCCTTTAATTGGAATATTTGATGCTTTTTAGTCCCTTTTTAAAATCTGTACATACCTAGTTTAGATCCGTAGTTTTCAAGGGGAGATTTTCTTCATGTGATGTTATAAAAATCTTCCATTTCATTAAAGTTAAATGTTTAAGTGTAACAATTAAAAGTTTAAAATAAATGTTTAGAACTATAAAGTTTTTAGTTTAATTTTTTTAATGTTTTAAAAGCTTTTTAAACTACAAGATACACTTAACTGTGAAAAATAAACAGCTTAAAATGTCTTTATTGCTGTTATAATCTAGGTAATTGTGAACTTCTAAAGATTATGAAAGTAAAAATGCATAATTAAACAAGTGTGAGATTCATATAAGCTCAAATATGATTAGTGTTTTGGTCTGTGGTTCTTAAATTATCCTGGAAAATAGGGAGATAATAAATACTTTTTGAATTAGGAAATAATTTCTCTTAATAGAAGTATATATAGCTTTTTAAATATAATCAGAGTCAGCATCATGGCTTAGTATGCTAAGTTTCTAGTACAGCACTTGCATCTCATATGAGTGCTAGTTTGAGTACTGGCAGTCCCACTTCTGATCTAGCTTCCTGCTTATGGCCTCAGAAAGCAGGGGAGGATAGCCCCACTCCTTGGGCCCCTGCACCCATGTAGGAAACCCAGAAGAAGCTCAAGGCTCCTGACTTTGAATCTGCTCAGCTCTGGCTGTTCTGACCATTTAGAGAGTGAACCAGCAGATGGAAGAGTTCTCTCTTTATCGAATAATAAATAAAATAAATCTTAAATATGTATGTAATGTAATAATTAAATTTGGTATTTTTAAAACTCATTTATGTATTTGAAAAGCCAAGAAAATGAAAGATCTTCCATCCAGAGTTATTCCTCAGATGCCCCCCAAAATTGAGGCTGGGCCAAGCTGCAGACAGGAGCTAAAATTTAATCCAAATCTTCTCCCATGGGTGGCAAGAGCCCAAGCATTCCAGCCGTCACCCACTGCTTCCCAGCAGGAAGCTGGAACCGAGAGTGGAGCCAAAACCCAAGCCCAGGCACTTCCATACAGGATGTGGGCGTTTCAGTGACATCTGAAGCATGTGCAAGCATCTCACCCCAAAGCTCCCCTTTATCATAGAAAACTAGCTTATGATTAATTATGCTACAAAAAATTTGCTCTTTTTTATTGACTTATTTATTATACAAATTATTTCAAGCATCCATGTGCTCATTGAGTACATGATAAATAAAATATAGTTTCTGCCTTTGAAGAACTCATAGGAGTTAAAGATAACCTTTATATAAAAGTATTTTTTCACTTTGTATAAATGAAATTCTGAAAGCATAATAAATGTTCAGGTACAAGAACACTTAAGGACTTCTGGAAGTATTAAAAATGCTTTCGGGGGAGGACTTCTGTCCCAGCTATTGTGACACTACATGGGATGCCTGTGTCCCTTCCTGACCGGCTTTCTGCTGGTCTGCACACTGGGAAGCAGCAGGCAGTGACTCAAGTGGTTAGGTTTCTCCTGTGCAGGTGGAAGACCTACATTGAGTTTCTATCTTCTAGCACTGGTCGGGCCCAGCCCTGGCCATGGTAAGCATTTGGGCAATGAACCTGTGAATTGGCACACTCTCTGTGTTTTTTTAGTCTGTCAAATAAATAAGAAGAAAGAAAAAGAAGATGATATCTTTAGAAACTTTCATGACATGGCCACATATTGAAATGTGTTAAATAAGGTACAAAGATGTAGATTTCAGATTATCCTAATTATGTAAAAATAATGTATTTGTCTATGTATCCAGTGGATGGGTAGTTAGATTGCAAGATAAAGAAGAACCTGGAGAAATTATCTATCATAATGTTAATAGTCATTTTCTATATTCCTATTTTAAATTATCTGTTTTCATATTTTCTAATATTTCTTGAAAGGGTATAAATTCATTGGTGCACCCTAAGCAACTAGAAAAGTACCTGGCAGCATAGGAAGCCTTACTGTTTATTTATTGACAAATGAGAAAATAAACATATATGTACTTAATTTTATATGTTTAAGTTTTCCTTTTACTTAATTCTCAGTATTTATCAGTAAGATATGTGTGTGTTTCACTTAACTACTGAAGCACCTAGAACAATACCAGCTACATAGTAAGCATTCAATAAACATGTACTGAATGAAAGCATGCCAAATTATTACTCAGAGCATGTGTAATTTATGTTGTATACTCATGCAGCAGGCATTGAGTGTGTCCCCTAATCAAGACGTAATGCTAGACATTGGAAATGATGAATGCCCTTGCTCCTGTATCTTTATAAATGTAGTCCTAGTCTCCTCCCTAAGAACCTACAGAGTCGTGGGAGTTCCCCGAGAGACAGCAGCTGAAGTGATTCTTTAGATGTAAACCCAAAGTCTAAGCTGGAACCATGCTAAGTGGAGAAGATAAAAACAGTCTTTCTCACTGACATGAAAAGGAAACAGAAGTTTGGGGTTAGCAAGAAATAATGAAGCCAAAGATAAAGGGTCTGTGACCTGGAAACAGAAGGGATACTAGGTCAACTGGGAAAGAAATGCTCAGTATTTGTCCAGAGATTAACATGAAGCTTGCTTTAATTTATAATTTACTTCTCACTATAGTATAGATTAATTAAACACTTGCATTGACTCTGTGTTGTGAAGCTTTTTGGTTGTGGAAGTAGGAACTGAGAGGCCAAGCTCTAAAAATGCATCATGATACCTGGTCACTCTAGATTTCATGCAATCCAAAAATGAAATGTGCGAATCCAGTGTTGTGACACAGTGGGTTAAGCTGCCACCTCATTTACCAGCAGCCTGCATTGGAACTGCTCTTTTTTGATTCATCTCCCTGCTAATGTATCTGGGAAAGCAAAGAAGGATGGTCCAAGTACTTGGACCCTGCCACTCCTGTCCTGTGGGAGACCTGGATGGAGTTCTTGGCTCCTGGTGTTGGCCTGGTCCAGTTCCAGCTGTCACAGCCACTGAAGAGTGAACCAGTAGATGGAGGTTCTCTTTCTCTGTGTCCCTCACTCTCTCTTTATCACTCTGCTTTTCAAATAAATAAAATAAATTTCTTAAAAATGGAAATATAACTGGAAGGGTAACAAAATTTAAAAAATGTGTTTGCTTATTACCTTGTCCCCAGCAATTAGCTCATACATAGCAGTTGCTTAATGAATAATTGTTGAGTGAGTAAGTAAAACTCTGCTCAGGTTGTAGTGATCTCTGAGTTACAGGAGGCTTTCTGCAACAAACTGTAATTAACGAAAAATGTGAACATTCATTGTAGTCATTTTTTGTGTAGCAATAATAAATTCTCACAGTGGCCAAACTAATAATAGTGATAATATATAACACTGTATCAGTTAGCTTTTCATTGTTTTAATTAAAAGAGCTGAATGGTACTTTGGAAGAAGGAAGATTTATTTAAACGTTTACAGTTTTGGAGGCTCACGAGCAGGTGGTGCCAGTAGTGTGGCATCTGGTGAAGGTGAAGTACATTAAGGAGAGAGGACTATGATAAGCCGAGAAGCACTCTCCCCTTACAACGCCAGCTGTCTCAGGAGAACCTCATCTAGAAGTAAGCCTGCCGTAACCTAGGGACTTCCCATGAGGCCCACCTCCTAAACGCCATAATTAGATCAGGTTCCACTGTTAATCTGTTAACCAATAACATAAGACTTTGGGGACAACACCCCAATACATGGGCCTTAGGGGATATCCAAGCAATTACCCAAGTCATAATAAGCACTTTTGTTGTCATTCTGAAAGGCTTTTTTCATCCATTTCCTCTTCCGTAGCTGGAGTAGAAATAAGAATTAATAAAATTTGTTAAGGCTAAAAAACTAAATACTTTTTTAATTTATAGTGTGAATATTAGGCCATTTATATATGCAAAAGGCCAGTTTTGTTTTGTGCATTGAGAATAGTGTCAAAGCAGTGTTTTACTCATTGATGTCATAAGTTTCAAATATTTTTGTAATGTGATGAATTCTTTGATAGATTCATGGGACGAATGATAATAACTCAACAAATGGAAGAAATTGTAAGGTAAGAATTTTGTGTTACATAATTACTTTTAAGTGAGAACTTTTTGGGAGGGATTAGAAGGAAAGGGGAGATTTGGTAAATAAGCAACATACTATGGGAAAGGGTTAATTCAAAAGTCTTGCATTGGTCTGCTAGTTAATTAAAGGATTTGGCTCAGTAAAAACTTGCTAATAGAATATGGAGAGTACATTGTTACCCATGACTATTTAGAATCAATCTTGGAATCAGCCCTTGAGTTTCTATTCACATTTGATATCCCACCTATTTTCTGAGGGCACTTTCAGTTTATACTGGCTGCATGAAATAAACTACTAACAGAAGCAATTGGGTATTTTCTTAATGAAATTCTTCAGATAAAACACCAGAACTACCATTCATCAGCACTGATTCCCTCTTTAATGAGCATTAACACTGGGGCTTGCCCAGTGAACTCTGTGATGAGAATTTTTTATGTGTGGGACTCCTGCTGAGTAACTATGATGTTTTATTTCTACAGCGAAAAATATGTGTGTTTGTAGTCTGAATTGAATAAAGATATTGTGGCTAGTAAACAAAAATAGAAATTATACAACTTCAACTCCTACAATTAAATGAACTGTTCTTTACAGAAGAAATGAATTGATGAATTTTCCTTTAATCAGAAACTCATATGTCCCAATTTCTTATGCCAGTGTAGCTGAGAGTAAGCATGGAATAAAAGTATACTTACTGTGTCCCATACACCTGGACCTCCTTGACTTGTTGCCATGTTTGGGTTTATGCCTGTCTATAAATGGTTCAGATTCTGTCTGATTTTAATAGTTGTGTGTGTGTATTTAGAAACCATAAAGAAGATCAACAAAATACTTTTTAACTTAGGCACTTACCATTTTGTTTTCACTAAGAAGATACAATTTCCTTTCTAGTTATTCCTTGTTATGTTTCTCCCTTATGGGGAGAATCTCAAACAAGAAGACCAATGCTCCAAGAAGTATGCAATGCAAGTAGTTGAGTTGAGCTGTGCAGTCTTGCCCTCCAGTAGCACTAACATACCTTCTACATTACATTTTGTAATCCAGTATAATTTTAATTGCACCAAACTCATGCATTTATACACAAATATACCATAGTGTATATTTACATTGCATCTTAATGCTGTATCTTACTTCCAAAGCTGTTTATTAATTTTGCTCAAAAGCTTTTAAACTTTACCTTCTGCTAAACATTCTTAAAGCGTTGCTTAATCCATTGTTGTATTTTGTTTTAAATATTTTAAACTAGCGGCTTTGGGGTTTTGTTTACATGCATAATCATTTCTGAACCACTAACCTTAAAGTGATTTAAATGCTAAAGCCAGGTGTTTGTTGTTACAGTACCTAACATTGTGGTTGGCGTAGGCCATATTGTAGCTGTAACTTAAATACCTCCTACTGAAGATTACATTTTAGAATTCAGTTGAATTTTAATATATTCAATGTTTTCTGTTTATTTTCTTTTTTTCCGTAGACCTCTGGGGCCAGAGAGTCTCTTGCTTCGTGGAGCTAGATTAAAAAACACAAAAGAAATTTTTGGTTTGTACATAATTAACAAGTTTTAATTATTGGTTTGTGTTAATCCTTTTAATAATGTATTTTTAATGGCACAGTAATTGTGATCTTTGGTTTGGATAATATATTACTTAACTGGTGTTTATGGTACAGTTTTATTACAATGATTGCATTAGTATAGTTTTGAATTTGTTTATATATTTTTTTGTTGCTAATCTTGTTTTTGAGTAATAGATTAGAACCTTGCACTTAGATGGTCTTTGTGGATAGCTATGAGACTAGAAGATAATTCTGGCACTTTAGTAATGGTGTATAAGGACCCATATAATCTATCCTTGTGTAATAAACCAGTTTTGTAATTCTCTTACAATTGTTCTTGAATTGGGTTAATAACTGTCAACTTTTTTCCTATATCCATTCATATATTCATTCATTCAAGAATGCTTGTCTCTGCTATATACCAATTACAATTGGGACATACATTAACTGTCTCAAAGGATGAATAAGTAGTGCCCGTGCCCTAGGACTCTAAATTAATTCAGTGTACTCTGAGTCAACTCGCGAAAAGTGGTGAAGTTAATGATGATGACCTCAGCCATCAGCTCCCCCAGTTGAGGAATGGCCCTTAGTATCTAGTTCTGTTGGTACCCACTAGAAGTCTACAGATTTGAAGTCTTTCTCTTCGTTACCTGTACTGCGGTTACCTGTACTGCAGTTACCTGTACTGTAGTTCGTGTCTCAGATTTAGGCTCTCTGATAAAGGAATCCATATATCAACTTTAAAAGAAAAAAAAAAGAATGAGTGTTGGCAAGTATTTGCAAGGTTAGAATCTTAGTGCTAATGGCAATGTAAAGTGTTGCAGCTGCTGTGAAAAAACAGTTTGACAGTTTTTCACTAAGTTTAGATGATACTAGATAAATAACCCACCCTGGATAAATAACCCCTCAAAACTCAAAATGAGCGTTTAGAAAAACTTGACAAAATTGTTCAGAACAGCCTATTCAACATTGCCAAAGACTGGAAACTGCTCACTTGTTCGTCAGCTAATGAATGGGTAAAATGCAGTGTATCCATATGATAGAATGGTAATTATCCACAGGAAAGTGCTAATGTGTACCCCAATATGGTAAAACCTTGAGAATATTTTGCCAAGTCAAAAAAGCTAGACACCAAAGGCTACCTTCTGTTTCTTTGAAATAACCAGAATGGGCAAGTTCATGGAAACAGAAAGCAGGTAAGTGGTTCTCTGGAGCTGGGAGTAGAAGAAATGATTGCTTGGCTACACAATTTTCTCTGAGGATACTGAAAATGTACTCTAGTAAAATAGTAAGAGTAGTTGCACAAAGTGTAATTGCACCTCAGGCCACTGAATTACATGCTTTAAAATGGTTAAAACAGAGGCCGGTGTGGTAGCCTAGCAACTATAAGTCCTCACTTTGTGCACACCGAAATCCCGTATGGGCACTGGTTCATATCCCAGCATCCCTGCTTCCCATCCAGCTCCCTGATTACGGCCTGGGAAAGCAGTAGAGGATGGTTCAAAGCCTTGGGATCCTGCACCTGCGTGGGAGACCTAGAAGAGGCTCCTGGTACCTGGCTTCAGATTGGTTCAGCTCCAGCCATTACAGCCACTTGGGGAGTGAATCAACGGATAAAAGATCTTCTCTGTCTCTCCTCTGTAAATCTGATTTTCCAATAAAAATGAAAGAAATCTTTAAAAAATGTGTTAAGGTGATAAATTGCATGTTATATGTATTTGCTGTCAGCTTTTTAAAAAAATTCATAAATTCTAGTGGAAGAAGCCATCTAAAAACACTGTTTTAGTACACCTTTCCAGCAGTAATACCCTCATTCCAGTTTAGTTTAAAACAGAGATTAAAATTTTGCATACTGTTGGAAGATTGCATATCTTTAGCTGCATCTTCAGCAAGAGTATGTCAGAAATTTCACAGAAATTTTGTATTATCTTTTTATTTGCTCTTTCCATGAACAGGTTAAGACTACTTTCTATTGTTTGCCTCAACGTGTTTGCTTGCTAGCTGGCTATTTTCACATTTATACAATGTCAGTGTACTTGTTATTTGAGATACAATCCTTATCTTTAAGGGATAATTCTAGCAATGAAAATTACAGGACAAATATTCAGAAAGATATTATGATTGGCCCGACACTGCTTTTCAAGTCATATTAAAGATGGAGTGAATGTTTATTGATCATCTGTCTAGTTCTGGGCACTCTGCTGATTTTTCAGACTTCACAGCAACTCTGTGAGGTATTTTTTTCTTATTCAAAGACAGGAATATTGAGACTCAGGGAATGATATACTAAAAATCTAGAACTTTTAAGCAGCAGAGGTATCATTCAAACCAAGAACTAACTACATAGTTTTTTAAAAGGCTGGCCTTATACATTCATCCCCAATTTTAGTCCCATTATTACTGTTGTTCTCATCATTTTAGACTCACAGTGGCACTTTTTGTTTGTTTTTGAGATTTATCTATTTTAAAAGGGAGAGATAGCTTCCATCCATTGGTTCACTCCCTAGTTGACCACAACAGCTGCAGCTGGGCCAGGACAGGCCAAAGCCAGGAACTTTATTCTGGTCTCCTGCCAGTGACAGGGGCCAACCACTTGGGCTTCCATGCTTTTCTCAGGCCACCAGCAGGGAGCTGGATCAGCAGTGGAGCAACTAGAGCTGGAACCAGCACCATGCTGGCATCAGACCGCAGCTTTACTAGTTACACAATAGCTGACCATGAAGCACACATTGAAACAGCACTCTCCTGTGCTAGAGCTTCTCTGAGTGACTTCTGCATGACTTCGTCATTGCTTATGGAATGATGTCCTAGACTCCAGATTCTGGACTCAGGGCGTACGCACCCTGGCCCCAGTTCATCTGTGTCTCTGTTAATACCCATTGGCTTTATGTCTAATGGCCTTCCTTGGTGTCTTTATGTTTTTCTGAATCCTTTTGCTCCACTAATTCTAACCCATGTGGTATCTTTTTCATTAATTTATCTATTATAACTCTGAAATAAAATCCCTATAACCCTCCCTCATCGATCAAATTGAGTGACTAGGATGCCCCAAATGTGGATTTGGAAAGCTTTAAAAACTCTAAAAAGTGTTAAGGGAAGCTAAATGATAACAATCGTCAGATGACATATTTTTCTAAAAGCTTCTGTGCCAGTGAGTACATTTACATCCTGTGAAACACAGAAGATTACTTTAAAGAACTGTTTATCGTTGCAGGTGTTGCTGTATACACTGGAATGGAAACTAAAATGGCATTAAATTACAAAAGCAAATCACAGAAGCGATCTGCAGTAGAAAAGTAGGAAAACTTTCATCTTCATTTATATGTAATTATAATTATGCATGTATCATTTCTGTATGTGTAAAATACTAAATGTATAAAATATATATATTGAATCAAAATATGCTGTTAGAGTTAGGGACAGCTCACTTTTTACACATGTAGCATTTCGCATGGTGTCTAGCATCTACTAAGTTCTAAAGTATGGCTTTAAAATAAGTACCACTAGGTAAATAGTGGAAACACTTAATCAGAGTAATCCTTCTGTGGTAACAGTTATTCTTTTGAAAGGAAGAAAAAAAATTTTTTAAGTGAACAGTTACTTGAAAGGACTGGAGGGCAGGGGTCAGCACTGAGGCATGGTAGATTAAGCCTCTATCTCGGACACGAGCATCCGTGTGGGCAACAGTTCAAGTTCTAGCTGCTGCACTTCTGATCCTGGTCCCTGCTGATGTGCCTGGTACAGCAGTGAAACATGAACCAACATGGGAGGCCCAGAGAAGGCATCAGGGTCCTGGCTTTGGACCAGCCCATCTCTGACCGTTGTGGCCATTTGAGGAGTGAACCAGTGGATGGGTGCATTCGTGTTCTCTCTCTCTTTCTATTCATATATATATGAATATGAATATGAATATATATACAGCACCTACGTGGGAGACCCGAAAGAAGTTCCTGGCTCCTGCCTTCAGACCTGCCCAGCTCTGGCTGTTGGGGAGTTAACCAGGAGGTGGAAGAGCTCTCTCTTTCTAGCTCTGTCTCTGAAGTAATTAAGTTGAGGGAAAGAAAAAACTTAAACAATAGCTGTCATTCTTGGAGGAACAAGAAAGAACACAGACTCTGCACACCCTGTGATTTGTAAAGGCCCCTGATACAGCTGTTGAAACACTCCTTGAGCCTTCTACATCTCATATGCTATGTACTGGGGTTTGAGACGCCTCTGCTCCTAATTCCGGCTTCCTTGTAGTGAGCATTCTGAGAGGCAGTAGGTGATGATTCAAATATTTTTGGATCCCTGTCACCCATATAAGACATAGGTTGATTCCAGGCTCCTGGCTTCAACCAGCCTAGTCTAGCTCTAGGTATTAGTAGATATCTGGGGAGTGAATCACTAGGTGAAAAATTTGTTTCTCTCCCCCACCTCCCTCATTCCTTCCCTCTCCTCTCCTTTATTTTTCCCTGTGTGTGGCTGTGTGTGTGTGTATCCCTCACCTGTCAAATAAACAAAAGTATATGATAAATAAAATTTAAAATATTTAAAAGAAGAGGACAGTCATCTGCTGGTTCATACTCATATGGCTCAAGCAACCTGATTTAGTCGGGTTAAAACCTAGGAGCGAGGCACTCTATTCAGAATGCAGGGACTCAAGTGCTCCAGCTATTATCAGCTGCTTCCCAGGCCCATTAGCAGGGAGCTAGATCAGAAGTGGAGTTCCTAGCTTTAGTCTTCAGCCTGGTCCAGCCTTAGTTGTTGTTGGTGTTTGGGGAAGTAAACCAGTAGATGGAAGATCTCTTGCTCTCTCTCTACCATTCAAATAAAAACAAATCTTTAAAAAGCAAAGGTAAGAAAACTAAAACTACTTTTAGTAAGGCAAGCTACCCACAACAGGAAATGCTTGCCAACCGCAGATATCACAAAGGCCTTGTGCTTAGAAATGCTAAAAGAAAAAACTCTCAAACCTCAAGAGTAACACAGTAATTGGTTAGAAATGAGCAAAAGCCTTGACTACACAGATAGCAGTGCTTTTATTACTAATAAGTAGATTCTGTTGAATGGTCATTTTTTGATAGCAATGACTATGTTCTTTGAAACTACTACAACAGTATATGTTTAAATATTTTTGTTAATTGGTATTAAATATTTTAATATCTTTATAATATCTTTTTAAATTATACTAAACAAATGACTATAGTGATACATAGTTGATATGTTTTCTCTTTTTTGCACCAGGTCAATGAATACATTTTTGATCATTTATCTAATAATCCTTATTTCTGAAGCCATCATCAGTACTATCTTGAAATATACATGGCAAGCTGAAGAAAAATGGGATGAGCCTTGGTATAACCAAAAAACAGAACATCAGAGAAATAGTAGTAAGGTATTTTATGGTGGTCTTAACTCAGATGTAAATTAAACTTCGTTGTTTGATGCTGTTAATGCTTTTTGATAGTGTCTTGTGATAGAAGGGACCACTGTGGTTTCCATTAGTACACAAGACTGACAAAATGCCATTGCAAATGAAGAATAGCCTTGATGTTTGCCATGGTGTGCTTTTCAGAAGTGTGGGGGAAAAGCAACTGGGTTCCTACAAGAGCCTAGCTCCTGTGAATCCATTCTACTCAGTGCTGCAAATTCTGTTTTCAATTCTATTTGTGATATTGTAAATGCAAGAATATGTTATTTTCTAATCTATATGAATAAAAGCTTTTACTATGATGTATGAAATAATACATAAATTATTTTATGTAAAATTTTAAACAACAATCTATTTTCAGGTAAATAATTATTCTGCAGATTTCACTTTTGATTAAAATATATATAATGGAAGATAAACTTGAATATCAGGAGAGTACCAACAGATCATCACATGTTCAGGGTCATGTTCAGTGTTATTTGCAATTGTAATACTTTCTCTTTCATAGCATGCCTGTGAGAGTGTGCTGCTGCCACCCTGTTGAAGTAGGCTGTTCCTGCATGATCTTAACTGAGAGTTGTAATTTCCACTTATCTAGCCTTCAGTTGTTTTATAATTTTTTAAAGGTAAACACAATTTTGGTGATGTGCTTTTGAAGGGAAGAACTAGCTATAGTATTGTCAAAGGTAGTTTCAGTCATAGTCATATCAGGGGACTTTAACATCTGAAGAACAGCAAATTAAATTATTTGGACTTAGCAGTATCTTGCTTTTCATTGATCAGGATCTTAGTTAATAATAAAAACCAGAGGAAATGTATTAAAAGGCCAGTTCAATCAATAAATTTCCATCCATAATACTGTCCTACCTCAGAATGTAGTGGATGGAATATTTAGACGTGAAAGTTTTTAATGATTTTTTTTGTCTCCAGTGATAATTGAAGAAATTTTTAGGCATGTTCTCTTATCAGACAACCATTTCTTTTTTTCTAGATTCTGAGATTTATTTCAGACTTCCTTGCTTTTTTGGTACTCTACAATTTCATCATTCCAATTTCATTATATGTCACGGTTGAAATGCAGAAATTTCTTGGGTCATTTTTTATTGGTTGGGATCTTGATCTTTATCATGAAGAATCAGATCAGAAAGCTCAAGTCAATACTTCTGATCTCAATGAAGAGCTTGGACAGGTAAGAATAATCCTCATTTTTAGACCTAATTTTTAACTTTTGTCTAAGCAATATATGTAGAAAGACTGATGTAACAGAAATTAATATAAAACTAATAGCAAAACTGACTCTGGTTTACTGCTAGTTCTTATTTCCCATTTGTAAATGTAAAGTTACTTTTCCTATTATTTACTGCTGTATTTCTCCATGGTATTCTTTCTTGATTTTTCAAATTTTACACATAGTTTATGATGGAATAGAAACATGTAACTCTTATACCGCTCCTGTGACACCCAGGTAAATACCCACTTTACCCCTTCATATTAAAATGTGGAATCTATGAATATTTGTTTGAGATTTTAACTCTTTGTGTATACCTTATGAAATACTATAATTACAGTTTTGTTTTTATGTCTCCCAAGACTTAAGTGCTCTTGCTTTTGGTCTGTTTAATTCTCACATTCCACAGTAAGCTCTGACAGGTGCAGGCAGCTTCTCTACGTTGTCAAGCGTGTCAGATAGCGTAGGCTTTCCTCTCACTCTCCCCCTCTTTCTCATTCCTTACCCTCCTCTCACCAGTTCTTACTCTTTCTGCTCCGTCTGGAGTTTGTGTGGGCTTTCCTCTCAGATGCTGCTCTGTACTTCCCTCCACCATCACCCTAGAAATTCCTTTGCCTCTCTCGCTGTCCCTGGAATGTTACCTTCTCTTTCACTGCTGATCTAAAGCATTTTTTTTTATTGACTTTGTTAAGGTAAATGGTATCTTTCTCTGTCCAACTTACATTTCCAGTTGCACATTTGTTACTGATACTGGACAGTCTTTATTATCAAATAGCAAAAATTAAACATTTGAGCTTTTTCTTTCTAATGTCACCATTTGCCAGCTATAACTTCTTTTTTTAGCATCCTGTGCTGTAAAATAAGTATGTAGTTCATGGAGAAGTTGAGAAGATTAGATGAGTTCAGACACATAGCAATGGTTAGAATATAGTGAGAGCTTATTAATTAAGTTATTAACTTAAATAGCAGAATTTTAGATTTCAGTTGTCTTTATTATTACAATTCTCAAATAAATGAAACTTCAAGTTCAGTTTCTCGCTTTGCTTTGCTTCTCACTCAAAACAATATTTTTCCAGCATTACCTCCCAAAAAACCCACTTTTTAAAAAAAGATTTATTTATTTGAAAGTCAAAGTTACAGAGAGAACAGGAGAGAGATATCTTCCATCTGTTGGTTCACTCCCTAGATGACCACAGAGGCCGGTTTTGGACCAGGGCCAAACTGGAACTTGGCGCCTCATCTGGGTCTCCCGCATAGGGGCAGGAGTCCAAACCCTTGGATCATCTTCCACTGCTTTTCCTGGGCCATTGGCAGGGTGCTAAATTGGAAGTGGAGCTGGAGCAGAAGCAGAGCAGCTGGCACACAGATTAGCTCCCATGGGGATGGCAAGGATCACAGGCAGCGGATTTACCCGCTGTGCCACATTGCAAGGTCGCCAACTTTATCTCTTTCCTTTCCTCTTGTGTATTTTTTAATCCTGGAATCTTGCTGAATTAATTTATTCATGAAAGTAGTTTTTAATGGATTCCTTGGGGTTTTCTTTTATCTACATAGTCAAGTGCGTGTGGAGATAGTTTAACTCTTTTTTTTTTTTTTCTGATTTGGTGACATCTATTTCTTTTCCTTTGCTAATTGTCCTGACGGGAACGTTCAGTGCAGTGTTGAGTGAAAGTAGTAAGCACAGACATCTTATTCCTGATCTTCGAAGGAAAACTTTCAGGCTCTCCCCATTAAGTATGATGTTGGGTGTTTTTGTAGGAAAGATCTTACTGAGTTTTTTAAAGTAATGAAGTATATTGGATTTTGTCAACACATTTTTTTAATGTTAAATCAGTCTTGCATTCTTAGAGTGAATCTCCTATCCATGGCATGTAATCCTTTTTATGTTTCTGGATTTGGCTTGCACGTATGTTTGTAAGGAGTATCTATAGGTTTATTTATTTCCTTGTGATGTCTACAACACTTTTTAAGTAAAAAATTTCCTTCTGAAGCCATCATTATTATAGTTGAATTCTCACAGTAGTCCTGGTTCTATCAAGGCTTGAGTTTGTATTCCTCTTCGTGGATTTGCCTTTTAGAATTAATTTTCTAGAATTTAGTTTCCAGGTGTTTAAAATTTGTGTTGTCTACTTTTTTTCCTTTAGACCTCTTTTTTTTTTTTAAACTGAATTTGTTTGCTGCCCTTGGTTTTAATTTCCTGTCTATTTTAAGCAACCTCTCACCTCTAAATTATTGGGTTGCTATCATTTGTGTATGTGTTTCCAGTTATGTCCTGATCCAGACAATCTTTTACATTCTAGGTTATTCTCTTTCACCCTTGCTTCAAAGGTAATTCTTGAGTCCTACTACTTAAAAACACACCTGACCTGAGAGATAGAAATGAAGTTCTGGCACCACATTCTCAGTCAGCTAGAGAGATGAAAGTGTATCTAAAGATGCGAAACTTTCAGAGTCTGGGTACATTTAAAATATTTTGAGTACCTATTTTGTTTCCTTAGTTGTTTATTATTTAATTGTACTTGGATTATAAGAATAATGAGATTAGATAGATTTCAGAACTTTCAGGATTTTAGGAGACTTTAGGAGACAAAGGACAGGTTTTTTGTTGTTTAATTTAGGACCATGAACATAGAAGTTTACTTTCTTTGTTTCTGGTCTCTTTAGGTGGAATACGTGTTTACAGATAAAACGGGTACACTGACAGAAAATGAGATGCAGTTTCGAGAATGTTCAATTAATGGCATGAAATATCAAGAAATCAACGGTAGACTTGTACCCGAAGGACCAACGCCAGATTCTCCAGAAGGAAATTTATCTTATCTTAGCAGTTTGTCTCATGTTAACAGTTTTTCCCATCTTGGAACCAGTTCCTCTTTCCAAAGCAGTCCCGAAAATGATGCTGAACTGGTAAGTAACTTTTAATTAATGAAGAAGGATTTCATATGAAGTCATTTTCCTTTAGTAGTTAATGAGTTGTAGGAAGAGTAAGAAATTATGTATTTGAAATGGGTATCTTTGAGTCATTGCTGTAAAATATAATCCTAGATACATGGTTAGAACCCAGTTTAACATTATCCAAGACTATGTGTCTGCTTCATCTCTCTGGGTGCTTAAGAACCAAGAAAAGCTATACTGCTTTCAGGTGAAAAAGACTTACTGAGAAATAGAGCTTACATTTATCTAATGTACTTTTTTTGAGACCTCACTTTTTCAACAAGAGTGTTCCTTATTTACAATTACGTTATACCTCCAAGAGGATTACATGCATGTTAATAGATCCTTAAAGTTAGAAGCAACTGGCTGTCATTCAGACACTTGAGCTTGTAGTGTCCTTGTTGTAGTTCTTCGACGTTTTTATCATGACTGTGGCTTGTGTTTCCACAGATTAAAGAACATGATCTCTTCTTTAAAGCAGTCAGTCTCTGTCACACGGTGCAGATCAGCAGTGTTCAAACCGACGGCATTGGTGATGGCCCCTGGCAGTCCAGCCTGGCCCCGTCCCAGGTGGAGTACTATGCCTCTTCCCCAGACGAAAAGGCACTGGTGGAAGCTGCTGCACGGTAATGCGTCAAACTTTGAAATAATTTTTGAAGATTTATTTTATTGGGAAGGCAAATTTAAGGAGGAGTTACAGGGAGAAAGATCCCGTCATTTGTCCACTCCCCAAGTGGCTGCAATGGCCAGAGCTGACCAAGTCCGAGGCCAGGAGCTGGATGGGAGTGGAGCGGCTGGAACATGAGCTGGCACTCATTTGAGATCTTGGTGCTTGAGGAAGGAGGATTAGCCAATTGAGCCATGGCACCTGGCCCCACTGATTGCTAAATATTAAAATAAATACTTTTTAATTAAATGTTAGAATGTTGGAAAATTCTCATTTAAAATTTTCAAACAGATAAATGTATTCTCCTAAATTGTAGAGTTAATGATACATAAAGTTTGAAATGAATTTTAGCTTAAATTTTAAATGAGATTGAGGTATGTCATCAATTTTGTTAAGCTGGTATTAAGTATTTTTTTTTTTAAAGAGCTGTTTAACAATCTGGTACGGCAAAATCTGTGCATTAAAGCCTTGAGGATTATTTGCCTGTGTATTTTTATGGATACTTGATCTTTCAGGTTCTTAAAGTAATGATAGGGTTTGCAACAAAAGGCTCTTTGGACTACATTTTGAACATTTAACTAATTTTATCCAGCTGTGTTATAATTACATCCTGTGAAGTATAAGTATAATCCTTGAGATTTTTTTTATTTCTTTTAATCACTAGAATTGGTGTTGTATTTGTTGGCAATTCTGAAGAAACTATGGAAGTTAAAACACTTGGAAAACTGGAAAGGTAAGACCTATTTCATGGTATTAAATAACATAAGATAGAAGTGTGTGACCTGCAGTAAGTATCTGTGTCAGTTCCTTCCATCTCTAATCCAGTTTATTAATAAGTCGCCCTGTACTGTGGTTAAGATTAATTTCTTGTTCTGAAGTAGTCATTTTTATGTTTAATGTGGTTTGTTTCCAAACTTGTACTTAAATAATTGAAAAATGTAATGTTTTTTCCTTCAGGTACAAACTGCTTCATATCCTGGAATTTGATTCAGATCGTAGGAGAATGAGTGTAATTGTTCAGGCACCTTCAGGTAACCAATCTGAACTTTCACAGCGTTTCATTTGTGGAGTATTAAAAGCTTGAAAACTCCTTGTTTTTTTTTCTTTTTAGGTGAAAGGCTTTTATTTGCTAAGGGAGCTGAGTCATCTATTCTCCCCAAATGTATAGGAGGAGAAACAGAAAAAACGAGAATTCATGTAGATGAATTTGCGTTGGTGAGTATAAATCTCTATTTGTAAAAATTCTGATAATATAATTATAAAAGATCTTAGGGCTTGAAATATAATGATTTATTAAAAATTATGAAAATTCTACGTATTATTATACTATATGCTGTCCATGTTTTTTTGTAAGAGAGACTTAACCTGCTAAGATGTGTCTTCTTCAAACCTGTTAGAATAAGGGTACTTTTGGTTACAAGAACCTCTCAAATTACACTTTAAGAGAGAGTTATTAAAAGAATGTAGGTGGATTTCAAGAATATGGAGCGGGCAGAAGCCTCATGTGTTGCTGGTGGGATTGTAAATTGTATAGCCACTTTGGAAAATGGTTGGCAGGTCCTCGGAAAAGTAAACAAAGACTCAGTATATGATCCAGCAACTCCACATATACACATAAGAGAATTGAATGCACAAACATATGACTTTTTATAAACATAATACTGCTGTAGCCAAAATATGGAAAAATGCAAATACCCAACTGGTGAACAGATGGACAAAATGTGGTATTCCACATTGTACAAAATCCTAGGGTGTCTGGAGGAATGAAGTCCTGGTATATTCCACATCAGGGATGAACCTTGAGAAGATTACCCTGAATGAAAGAGGCAAATCACAAGATTTGGCTCAGCTCCAGCCATTGTGGCCAATTGGGGAGTGAACCAACAGATAGAAGATCTTTCTCTCCATCTCTCCTTCTCTCTGTAAATCTGTCTCAAAAAAAAAAAAAAAACTAACTAAATCTTTAAAAATAAATTAAAAAGGGCCTGGCACAATGGCGCAGTGGTTAAAGTCCTCGCCTTGCACGCCCACGATCCCATATGAGCGCCAGTTCTAATCCTGGCAGCCCCACTTCCCATCCAGCTCCCTGCCTGTAGCCTGGGAAAGCAGTCGAGGACGGCCCAAAGCTTTGGGATCCTTCACCCACGCTGGAGACCCGAAAGAGGCTCCTGGCTTTGGATTGGCATAGCATCGGCCATTGCGCTCACTTGGGGAGTGATTCATCGGATGGAAGATCTTCCTCTCTGTCTCTCCTCTCTGTATATCTGCCTTTCCAATAAAAATAAATAAATTAATTAATTAAAATAAATTAAAAAAACAGAGAATATCATCATTATTTAGAAATGTGCTAAATAATGTCGCATTTTAAATCAACTCTTTCCAAGTTCTGTTATTACAACATCTGTTGTGAGTTTTTCTGAGGAAGGTATGTGGCAAGAAAAAGAATTTTAGATTTAGGTACAAAGTTTGAGTTATTAACACTGTGAAAAAAATTTGAAGCCACTAAGACACAGCAATCAAAATGTTCCTAAATTTTTGCAAAGTTCCAAATCTGTGAAGATATGATATTGTAAAGATCATGAATTTGCTAAATCTAGAATTGTATTTTTGTTTTGATAATGGCATATTTATTGATTTCTTTATTTAAATGCCAAATTTTGTAATACAGTTAACTCATAGGTACTTTTGGTTTCCTTCACTTTAAAGAAAAAAATAAAATCCCACAATGTAAAAGTGAATTTTTTTAACATTTACTTATTCTTATTGGAAAGTTATATACAGAGAGAAAGAGACAAAGATCTTCGATCTGTGGTTCATTCCCCAGGCGGCCACAACATCCAGAGCTGAGCTGATCCAAAGCCAGGACCCAGAAGTTTCCTCAAGGTCTCCCACACAGGTGCAGGGTCCCAAGGCTTTGGGCTGTCCTCCACTGCTTTCTCAGGTCACAAGCAGAAAGCTGGATGAAAAGAGGAGCCATTGGGACATGAACCAGCACCCATATGGTATCCCAATGCATGCAAGGCAATGGCTTTAGCCACTAGACTACAGCACTGGGCCCATAAATGAATTTGTAAATTAAATTGCTATCTGTCTCTTGACAACCTTTAAGATTCATTATAGGGCATGCTGGCTTTCCATGTTAACACAATTGAAAAACACAAATAGTGTAGTCTGTATGATCCTTCCTAGACTCAAATGTTTTGCGATTCAGTGACCTTAATTATTTTAAGCAACTTCCTGTTACTAGATGATAAAACTTTTTTAAATGATCCTTTTAAAAAGTGTTTATTTTTATTTGAAAGGCAGAATTAGAAAAAGAGGGACAGAGAAGTCTTTCATCCTCTAGTTCACTCCCCAAATGCCACAATGGCCAGAGCTAGGTCAGTCTGAGTCCAAGAGCCTAGAGCTTCTTCCAGGTCTCCCACATGAGTGCAGGGCCCAAGGATTTGAATCATATTCTGCTGCCTTCCCAGGTGCAAATAGGAGCTAGTTCTTAAGTAGAGCAGCCAGGACTCAGTCAGCACCCAAATGGTAGGCTGGCTCCACAGGCAGAGGCTTGGCCTACTAACACCATCGCACTGGCCCAAAAAATTATTTCTAACTGACCTCTTAATTTTCCATCAGTTATTTGTGTTCAACATTTATTTTTAATATTTTTATGTGTTTTAGAAAGGACTAAGAACTCTATGTATAGCCTATAGAAAATTTACACCAAAAGAATATGAGGTAATAGACAGACGCCTGTTTGAAGCTAGGACTGCCCTGCAGCAGCGGGAAGAGAAGTTGGCAGATGTCTTCCAGTTTATAGAGAAAGACTTGATATTACTTGGAGCCACAGCAGTGGAAGACAGGTAAGTATAGATGAGTAAGCACCGTCATTCTTCTGTCAAGAATTTTTCTAACCAAAAGTTCTAGCATAAACTGGATTAACCTGATTAGTATCTTAATGATCCTTCCTAGACTTTAAATTTAAAAATCAAAACAGAGATTGAAAGCCTTGATTTTTCCTCAGTCATTATGTATAATTTTGTTCTGTCCTCTTATCTGAAATAAAGATACCAGCTATTTATAGTTTTTCCTATTGACTTGAACTTTTAGACTTCTTCCAGGTACTACAAAGAGATCTTAGGTACTTCTGTCACTTTTACCTCTCACCACTGCCAGCTCCTGCTTTTTTTTTTTTTTTTTTGTTAATTTATCATACAGTTCTGTATTGTACAATTTTGAGATTCCCCTCCTCCCAATTTTCACCAAGCCCCAACTGATTTTTCCCATAATGTCACAACTCTGTTTAAGGAGTTACAAATCTGTCAGTCTGCTATTTAAGTGTGCCCTGACATTGCTGGTACAGACAATGTCAGACAGTCCATCATCCCATTGTCTAGATATATCCAACACTTTCACTGGGATGCCTTCTTTTGTTTGGAAGCAGAGATGCACGTTGGATTGTGTCTTCACATCTGGATATAGTTGTCTCCATTACTCCACCACTATACATTCCAATTTGCATGATGAATTTCTTATATTAGAACATATGGTATTTCTCTTTTTGGGATTAACTTATCTCACTAAGCAGTGGGGTCTCTAGTTAGGACCATCTAGTTGCAAATGGTATAATTTAATTATTTTTTAATGGCTGAGTAATATTCCATGGGGTAGATGTTCCACAATTTCTTTAGCCACTCCTCTTTGAATGGGCATCTGGATTATTTCCATGTCTTTGCTATGTAGATTGTGCTACTGTAAATATAGGGAAACAGAGCCGCTTTTCATATGTAGTTTTAATTTATTTTGGGTCTGTTCCTAGGAGCGGAATAACTGCATCATATGGCAGGTTTATTTGCAATTCTCCAAGCACTCTCCATACTGATTTCCACATTGGTTGCACTAGCCTACACTCCCACCAGCAGTGAAGGAGGGTGCCTTTATCTCCACATCCATCAGCAGGTGTTGAGTGGTGAATGTAAGCCAGTCTCATTGGCGTTAGATGGTACCTCAGTGGGGCTTTAATTTCTGTCTCTCTGATAGTGAGAGAGCCTGAGCATCTTTTTGTTTGAACAATGCTACACTGTAGTTTCCTACAACAGTTAAACATCAACTGTACTTACAAATCTTTTGCTTTATATCTTTCTTCCTGAGTAAGGCTGTTCCTCTGCCTGGAGGAGTCCTCTCTTTTCTTCTGTGAATACCATTCATAAAGTTTGGCTTGGATATTAGCCCCGCTATTGAAAAGTCTTTCCTGACACAGAGGTTAAGGTTCCCTTCTTTGTGAAGTTTCCATGTTGTATAGTTATTCCTATTATTTTAGCACTGAATTGGGGCTGTTTGTTTAGAGGCATTTTTCTCTGTTAGCCTATGCATTCCTGGAAGGCCATTTGTTCTTTGTCTTTGTTCCCTAAAACCTCTAGAGATTGTTTCTCAGTGGCTTGAATTAAGCTGAATCCTACAAATTAGGACTATTGTTCTATTTTCCTTTACCCACTAGATCTAAGGATGCTTGCATGTTTTAAATCTATATTCTCACTTTTTTGTTCTCAGGAGATTTCCAAGACTTAACTGAAGTTATGTAGTCCTTTGTTTTTCCACAGTGTGATTTTTGAGCTGAGTGAATTGAAAATTTTTCTTATAAAAAAACAAATCTTATGGTTTGAAACAAACATCCTCATAAACAAGGAGTTTGTGAATATCAGCAGCTTAGAGATTTATTTTATAAAAATCACCATTGGAGATATACTCTTTAAATACAAAGCTGTAGACTTAATTTTGTATTAAACAGATCATTACTACTCTGATTATTATTTCTTCTTTAATGAGTGAAAATTTCAATTATGTCATTATCCTGTCCAATTCTATATTGGAGTCCAAGATTTATCTTAGATATACCATCTTCTTTGTGCTTAACATAGACTTAGAAAAATATTTTCTGCTACCAGTTTTATTCCTGTTATTTTCAGACTACAAGATAAAGTTCGAGAAACTATTGAAGCATTGAGAATGGCTGGCATCAAAGTGTGGGTCCTCACTGGAGATAAACATGAAACAGCTGTTAGTGTGAGTTTATCATGTGGACATTTTCATAGAACCATGAACATCCTTGAGCTTACAAACCAGAAGTCAGACAGTGAATGTGCTGAACAGTTACGGCAGCTTGCCAGAAGGTAAGAATACAGGTCTCTGGATCCTGAAGGCTAGGGACCGGGAAACTGTGGCCCACTGCCGCTGCTTGCTCTTTACAGCCCTGGAGTTTCAAGTAGTTCTTAGTTTTTTTCTTTTTGGGGTGAAAAAAGAATACTTTTTCATAAGATGAAAATATATTGAAGCTGCTTGGAACACGCACACTTAGATTTGTGTACATGCTGTGAGTAACCCCATTAGAATACAGCAGCAGAACTGAGTTCCATTTGGGTCTCCCATGTGGATGGCAGTGACTCAAGCATTTGGGCTAACCTCTGCTGCTTCCTCAGTGCCTTATCAGGCAACTGGATTGGAAGCAGAGCAGCTGAGACACAAACTGGTACTCTGGTACAGGATTCTACTGTCAACAGACAGTGCCTTACCCACTGTGTCACAGCCCCTTTTTCATATTTCTGGAATATCCCATGGACTGTGATGGCATAATACATCTAGAGGAAATCCTGTTATTGTGCGTTAAGGAGGTTCCTCCTGACATCTTTCCGGCATCCAGTAGCTTGCCCAGCTGCCAGTAAGTAGTCAGATCATACTTTGAGTAGCACTTTCATAACATATGCCCAGAAGTGAAGTATTATTCCTGTTGCAACATTTTAAAATCTGCTATTACATTCCATTACAGGAATTAATAGTAAACACATTGATTTCTTCTTTTTTTCCTTCTGCTTACATACATAGTAAATCTAGTTCATTAATCTTCCTAAACATTCTTATTTCATTTAATTTTTTTCAGTTAGTGGAATTTGCAAATAGTGTAGCTAATAATGTTTATTTGTATAAGAATTTTCATTTCCATAGTTTGGGAGACTAGATTATATGTTACAAAAATCACATCTTAAAAATTGTAATTACTAGAGTTGATGTTGTGGTATTCCAGATAAATCCAGTGTCTGGGATATCAGCATCCCATGTGGGAGTTGTTTGTACCTTAGTTGCTCTGGTACTGAGCCAGTTACATGTAAGTGGCCCGGGGAGAGAAGCAGAAGATGGCCCATGTGCTTGGTCTCCTGACATGCGTGTGGGAGACCCAAATGGAGCTCTTGGCTTCTGGCTTTGACCTGGCTCAGTACTAGCTATTGAAGCCATCCAGGAAGTGAACCACCCAGTGGAATGTCTCTCTGCTCTCCCCTCCCTCTGATACTCTGACTTGCAAATAAATAAATATATCTTTTTATAAAAAAGCATACAGTTGCTGTGTCTATAAAGATTCAGCATACAACTGAATACAATTTATTTTACTCATTGTGTCGGTGGCCTTTGGTTGTTCTTCATCTTAACTCTCACATTATACAACTGAATTTGTTCCCCAATATATCATTCTTACAACAGACTGAGTGAACTGTTCAAGATCCATAAAGATTCTTGTTCTGTATAAATGTAAATAGGATGATTTCAAGGCATCTTACAGAGGGCATCACTGTTTTGTCTTTCAGAATTACAGAGGATCATGTAATTCAGCACGGGCTGGTAGTGGATGGAACCAGCCTGTCTCTTGCACTCAGGGAGCATGAAAAGCTATTCATGGAAGTTTGCAGAAATTGTTCAGCTGTGTTATGCTGTCGTATGGCACCACTGCAGAAAGCAAAAGTATGCATATAACAGTTTCTGTGTAGATATTTAGACCTAAAAATATTCTTCAAGGTTAATGTTTCCCGTACTTTCATTTGATGATATGTAGAATGTGAATCTTGGTCACTTCAAATCCTGTAATTTTAGAATCTTTCAAGTTTCAGGCACTTATAGTGACTATAAAATCTGTGCTCAGCAACAATTTTTTAGCTTGATGCAACACAAATTTCAACAATGTTAACTCATATTACACAAATTAGCTACTTTGCTAATAAAGGAACCTAGAAGACTTCGATTCCTCTACGCTTTGGGATGGTTATTTCATTCTCATGAAGTGATAAGTTTTTGCTAAGAATGATCAACAAGTGGCAAACAGAACTTCAGTGGGAAGCTGAGAAGCTGATGTGTGAACCTATATTCAGGATTTCAGCTGCCTGTGGCTGGGATAGAAATGTATACAAACTTTAAATTCCAAATATGAAAATCGAGGTCTGTTGTAATACAGCTTAAGTATTTATTATTTCACATACATCTAACAAATTAAATGTCCAGTTTTCTTGGCTTTGTAGAATTTTATTAGAGTGCCTATATTGTTATAACTCAGATGTCATAATCTATGCAAACTAAAACTGGAACACAAATAGTGTCTAGATTTTTATAAAGGTACATTCTAGAATTCCTAAGATTCCTTTTGATTGCATTGTATTTAATTTTGATTGCTTTATAAAAATTTCTCAATATTTTGAAAAAGAATGATTATCATTTCTATCAAGTGAAAAGAATAATTCATGAGAAACAAATTTCCTGACAATTTAACTAAAATGCAGTTTTTTTACAAAAATTGTTAGGCTTCTTTAAATATGAAATTTATTTAAAATATGAAATACAAATGCAGTGCTGTGTTATGACATCTTAATGACATCTCTAAGATCTTAGAGGAGATATCTCTCAAAAAAGTGAAAATCTGTGTATTTCATGTATACTGTCAATTTTCTTCATTCTTGTTCTTTTAGTATAAACAAATGGCTTTGTTTAAATATGTAGAAACAACTTTTGTCATAGGTAATACACTATCTTTTCAGGTAATAAGACTGATAAAAATCTCCCCTGAGAAACCTATTACCCTGGCTGTTGGGGATGGTGCTAATGATGTCAGTATGATACAAGAGGCACATGTTGGAATAGGTAATGATGGCTTTTTTCAAAACTTTTAAAACTTGTGTAATTATTTAGTGATTTCATATTTTCCTTCTGCAGGCATATGAATCAAAACTAAATACAACATGTTATTATATTGCTGTGTGTCTCTGTCAGTGCGTGTAAAACTTATCATTTAGGATAATATTTTAGTTCCAAATTTTAAGGGAAATGAATGCAGCTATAAGGAATTTATTTTTGCTAGTTCTTCTAAATAAAAGAAACTTTCATTCTGACCTCTCTTCCTTTGTCATTTTCTTTTACACATAAAGATCAAACAGAAAAATATGAACATGAACTTTTTATTGAAGGGTGAAATTTTACAGAAGAGAGTTAGATTAGTCCCTGTTCTGGAACAGTGTCAGTAATGGCCTGTGATGGGGAGTGGTAAAGTCTGGTATCTGCAAGAGAAACTTTCAAATCAAAACCCTCCTCTTTGGGATCTTGGCTTGCTTTCTAGTTTGTATACTGTTCTTGCTATAAATATCCACAATTACTTGATGACATTTTCACTGTCAAGTGCTGAAATATGTAACAAAAGATGCATTTCAAATGCTCGAAGCTTGAAAAACAAATTGTAAGAACAAGGAGCACAAGTGTAGTTATTTGCAAAGTAAATGATAAAATCTAATATTCCTAATATGTGAAGTTTTAACTAATGAAGTAAAATAGGAAAAATATTTCAAAGAAACTGTAAAAAAGGTATAAAAAAGTATTCAGACTTTAACAAAGTAGTGCAAGTTAAAATTACCTATCAGATTGGCAACAGTTACATCAACTGATAAACCTGGGGTTGGCAAATGTATCGAGTAACAGGTATTCTCATGCAGCGTTATCGAAAATATGAACTTGTACACTCTGCACTCTCATGCATGATCAAATTGTAAGTGCACCTTATTCATGGGAAGTGCACATTGTATTTTGTTTTTCCATCAACTTTTTGAAGTTCCCCTATATGTCTGTTAACATTGCAGTTGTTCATACAGGAATTTCTTCTAATGAAATTATTGAATATGTTGCTAAAATATGAGAGGTCCTCAGAAAACTGTGCATGGATTTCAAGGATTCTTTGACCCCAAATAAACTTTACATTGGAAATCTGCTTTGCCACAACTTTTTGAAGTGCCCATATATATAGTTTAAGTAATATGCATACTCAATTAGGTAATAAAAGGAAGTTTACAAATAATATCCATTTTTATTATGTAATAAGAGCAGATTACAAAACAATTTAATTTGTATATTTTCTTATATATAAAATGTACAAATACATATGAGGAAATTCTAAAAGGATACAGATAGAAAACACTGATTTTTCTGAGCTTAGTATGAATATAGGGTAATTTTATTTGCCTTTAGACTTTAGAGTATTTTGATCTTTAATAACAGAATGTTTAGTGCCCGGCGCAGTGGCGCAAGTGGTTAAGGTCCTCGCCTTGCACGCCCGGGATCCCATATGGCCACCCGTTCTAATCCCAGCAGCCCCGCTTCCCATCCAGCTCCCTGCCTGTGGCCCGGGAAAGCAGTTGAGGACAGCCCAAAGCTTTGGGACCCTGCACCCGCATGGGAGACCCGGAAGAGGCTCCTGGCTTCGGATCGGCATAGTATCGGCCATTGCGCTCACTTGGGGAGTGAATCATCGGATGGAAGATCTTCCTTTCTGTCTCTCCTCTCTGTATATCCACCTTTCCAATAAAAAAATAATAAAAATAAATCTTTAAAAAAATAATAATAAAAATAAAAAAATAACAATGTTTAAATTCTAATCTTTTTTTAGATTCAATTTTTAGATTCAAAGAACAAATTTGGCTTTTTTTAACTTTTTTCTCTTTTGAAGCTTAAAGCATTATTGTAACCTAAAAATTGTACTCACATATATCAGATAAGAGAATATATTTAAATGCTTTTGTAAATATTAAAATATATTTGTATTTTGAATGTATATCTTCCTTGATAACACACTTTTACATGAAAGTTTTAAAACAAATCTGCTCATTTTTTACTAGGTCCACATAATTCAATATGAATAATTCAAATGAATATGTTCAGTGGCAGTAGTGAGATTAAAGTTAGTTTATAGTATGGTGTCCATCAGAAGTTTGTTGCCCAGTATTTTATTCTTATCAGTGTAATAACTAAGGCTCCTAACAGATCCTGGAGGTTCAGTATTATTTCTACAATATTGTCTGTACTTTATTTTAATTCTTTGTTACATTATAGCTGTATTTAAATATTTAAGTAGAACAACTTTTTGCATAGCTGCTAACTACTGTATAGGAGGATTTAGAGTACTTAAGTTCAGGTTCAGCCACTTTAAATAATTCAGGTATTTGCAGACATATAATGAAAATTACACCATGTGTCAACAGTAAACATGGCTTTTTGTTTTCTTCCATACAGGAATCATGGGTAAAGAAGGACGACAAGCTGCAAGGAATAGTGACTATGCAATAGCTAGATTTAAATTTCTCTCCAAATTACTTTTTGTTCATGGTCATTTTTATTATATTAGAATAGCAACCCTTGTACAGTATTTTTTTTATAAGGTGAGTTTCATGTGTAAAATTTAAATAAGTTGTTGATATCATGATTTAAAATCTCAATTTAAGAAATGTTATAATGATAAAAATTACTCCTGATAGTTTCAGTTAGTAAAATGGCAAGATCTTTTAAAATAAATTTTATCTATCTATATATAGAATGCAAATCAGTGGTAGCTACAGACAGAAGATACAGTTGATAGATTTGACTAGAAAGCAACATAAGAACTTCTGATAGAAAATAATTTTATGGTGGCATTTAAATTTGTCAAAACTCATCAAAATTTACACTTAAAATTGACATGTTTTATTGTATGATATAATAAATTTGATTTCTTAAAAGTTATTTTGTCATGAGCCAGTAAATTTAAATTTCATTCCTGTGTGGTGGTTTCAAACAGAGGTTCTTAACCTTTTTGTGTCCTACATGACCTTTTTATAGTCTAATAAATATGTAAATAAATAGATATATAAGTATATAATCAATCGATCAATATATTGGTTTGTATGTATAAATAAAACATTGGATTACCAGGAAACTAGTTATGTTGAAATACTGTCTTATCTCTGAACTATTTGGGATGTAGTAGTCTGTGGAACCCACATTAAGGGTCCATGCTACCAACTCGTTTGACAAACCCCTGTGTCCTTTATTGTGTAAACCTGTAATTGCTGACTGCTAGCTAGTGAAACACCATTACTACACTGCATAGTATTAGCAGATGATTGTGGTGGTTGTCTTCTTGCTTATTCCTGTAGCTTTTACTTATGAGTATATTGAGGTAGGTATTTTGAAAGCTCTATTTATTGTGTGATTTAAATGTTTTTGTATTATGTAAAACTATCATACCTCTTATGTTTAGGTACATTTTTTTACATGTATAAAAGAATAAGAATTAGGAGATTATAAATCTGAAATTATGATATTGCTAGTAAGTTAACAAAGCTAAAGCTTTCTTCATTCTGATATCTGCACTTCTGCTTAGAAAAATTGGAGCCATTTTTAATCAAATGGGAAATCTAATTTTTCATTTCATGCAGGCAAGTTCTTAAGGAGAAACCTTCTGCTTCATTTCAGTTGAACTTGTGTGTCCAGGCATTTTGGTAACTAGCTATTTTCCAAATTTTTTGTCTTTTAGACATATTTTAATTATTTCTCATTTCATCTTGTTTTTCAGAATGTGTGTTTTATCACACCCCAGTTTTTATATCAGTTCTACTGTTTGTTTTCTCAACAAGTAAGTAAATAGAAGTTATATTCTTTCCTTTTAGAGTATGATATGTATGTTTAGATTTTGATAGTTATCTGTACAGTTGTTTTCATTTTTTGTTAGTCCTGTAAGTAACTAAACAAAATCCTGATGATTCATATATTTAATCAACATAACATTCAAAGTATGTATTCTGATTTTCTGTTTGAAGTGAATATTGATACCAACATGTATCTTAATTGCAGGTGCTTTAAAAAAATAACCTTTTAACTCTTATTAGAGAATTTTGATAACTTTTCAGCTTATTTGTATCAAACCAGATCAGAAAAGCATTGGAAGTTCACTTCACTTTTATTTTTGACAGAATTGTCTTAGGTCCAAAAGCACACTTATTGATTTAGCCAAGGGTTACAAACAAGTTTCATCTGAGAAGCTAGTTTTCAATAATTGGTAGGGCTATCTCCAGTTACTATACTGAAAAAGTTTCAGAGGCCATAAATTCAGATAGGAAACACTGTAATTTGTTAGCAGTGACTGTTAAATGGACACAAGTTACATCTTCAGTTACAATGTGTCTGATATTTGTCATTCCTGATCTGTTTTATTTCACTGGAAAGGAGAGCTGAATTCACAGAAATAAGTATCTTGCCCAGATTCACATAACTAAATTGGTGTCTTGACCGTGACTTGAACTGACTGCTTCTGATTTATTGAGCCATCCTTTTCACGTAATACACTATAAGAATCAAATTGATCAAAGCACTGATTTTGACTTATTGAAAAGCTATATTTTTAAAATAATCTTTTAAAGATTTATTTTATTTTTATTGGAAAGTCAGATATACAGAGAGGAGAGACAGATAATCTTCCATCAGGTGGCCCCAACAGCCAGAGCTGAGCTGATCCAAAGCCAGGAGCTGCTTCTGGGTCTCCCACACAGGTGCAGGGTCCCTATTCTTTGGGTGGTCCTTGACTGCTTTCCCAGGCCACAAGCAGGGAGCTGGATGGGAAGTGGGCTGCCGGGATTAGACCTTGTGCCCACATGGGTTCCCAGCACATGCTAGGGGAGAACCTTAACCACAGGGGCCTGGAAGGCAATATATTTATCTCTAGTTTTTCATGGGACCTGATCTGGATGGATTTAAAGTTTTCAGAAATTTTACAATGTGATTTGGGAGACAGTGTTAATAACAATAAAAATCAGTATTTGAAGCCTGAGCAAAGTGCTAAACAGCTAGTACCAACCAGCAGTATCACCTGTGACTGTTCAGAGAAGGACGCTATCCTCAGGGGGTTGGACCACTATGAAAAATCTCCATGAAAGGCTTGTTCTTTGCCTTAAAGGAAATATAGAACATACATGACATAACAAAGCCATGAAAGCAAGATCTATGTGTTATGGATGTAAGGCAAGATAGGACGTGTGTGGGAAAATTTTTAAATATTATTGTGGCCAAGTTATGGAGATTCTTGAAATTTACATCCATTTCACTGCAATTCCAAAAACATGTGCCATACCAAAACATTCCAATTTCCACACAATACAAGTCTAGGAATATGATTTACTTATATAAAAATAAATTCAAATTGTTCAAATGGGTTTAAGTGTCAGTTGTGAAAACTAATTTTATGCTTTGTCATTATATACAAAAGGATAATCTTAGCAATACATAATTTTAATTTTCAAAATTTCTCCATTTTTTTTTCTAGACACTGTATGACAGCGTGTATTTAACTTTATACAATATTTGTTTTACTTCCCTACCTATTCTGATTTATAGTCTTTTGGAACAGCATATAGACCCTCATATATTACAGAACAAACCTACCCTCTATAGGTAAGCATTTTCCAATATTAAATGTCCATAACATTTGTGATTGCAAATAATATTCTGTTTTTTAATTCTAATAAGTATATAAAATAATCCAAATATATGAGATGGTATCTTGGCAATTAACTCTAAATTAGGGAATGTACTTGTCTTATGGTTTGAAGTTACTGAACATCAAATAAATTTTGAGTAAATGTTCCTACATTTTACACAATGAATACTTTTATTTTGGAAATGTGTTAGATAATTGTGCAATTTGCAGCTACTATTGTAAAGCAATAATGCTGCCTTTCCCATAGAAGCTATTCATTAATTAGCGATGTCTAGAATTCTCAGCAAGTGGCATGGATTTTGATATTGTCAGCTTTTGAGTAATAATCACTGCAGATTACAGGACGTTAATTGTCCTCCCAGATTCTGCTTCCCTCCTGCTTTGCCAGAACCGAGAATGAAAGGATGGGAAACCTGCTGCTCTGGACCGGTGTGGGGGTCCTGCTGTGAAGTAATTGCAGAAGGCTCTAGACATGTCCCCCTACAGAGTAGCCAGTTATCCAGATATGGAATAGCTCCCTTTGATTTCCCTGCTACCTTCCATAGGGTATGCATAACCTATGATTGGTGCAAATTGTTTCTTGTCTTGATAGCTACTGTTGTAAGAGACATTCATAAAGAGCTTGGGGCCAGTGCGGTAGCACCGTGGGTTAAGCCAGTACCTGTCACCGCCTGCAACACTAGCATCCCATAAGAGCAACGCCTTGGAGTCCTGGCTGTTTCACTTTCTCTCCGGTTCCCTGCTAATGTGACTGGGAAAGCAGCATACAGTGGCGCACATGCTTGAACCCCTACCATCCACATGGATATATAGATGAAATTCCACATTCCTGGCTTTGGCCTGACCTGAGCCCTGGGTGTTACAGCAATTTAGGGAGAGACCAGCAAATGGAAAATTCTCTCTCCTTTTTCTCTCTGTTTCTCTCCTCCTCCTTCTCCCTTCTTCCCTCCCTCCCTCTCTCTTTGTACCTCTGCCTATCAAATAAATAAGACAAACCTTTAAAAACAAAAATAGGAATGTAAATGCTGAACCTCACTCAGCTGACCTCACCAAAGAGAACATTGTGGCAGAGTGACTGGATGTTAGAAGAAGAAGGTAATACAGATATCTTACCAAAATTAAACTGAGGAGTTACACATTTGTCATTTCTATATCAAATGAGAAATATATTTGAATTTATGTGAACTGCGAGCTGGTAACAGGTGTGATGTGTGATCTTACTAGAAGCAGTGGTTTGTCAATTTATATTTTCTGCTAATATTTTCAAACAATTTTAGATTAAAATCTTTTTAATGACCAAATGTAATAATTATTTAACAGATAAATAATAAATCCTAATGTGTCACTTTTTCTCTTTTTTTTAATTCAGAGACATTAGTAAAAATCGTCTCTTAAGCATTCAAACATTTCTTTATTGGACCATCCTGGGTTTCAGTCATGCCTTTATTTTCTTTTATGGATCCTATTTTCTAATGGGAGAAGACACATCTCTGCTTGGAAATGGCCAGGTAAAATACATAGTTTTGGAAGGAAGATACTTAAATAGCTCAGTTTGTTTATTGCTGGTTTTCTATCATACAGAATAAAACTAAAAGCTAATTTATAATATTTGAGATGTTAAACTAAAATGTAAATCTAGGTGTTAAATTAAGTTTCATACATATAAAAATTGAAACAGAAAAGCAATATAGCATAATGTGTAAATGAAACTCAAATACCTACATAATTTTGTGATTCAAAAATGAGCTGACATGATGGGTTATGGTGTGCCCCTTCCTGTTAACTGCAGAATTCTGTTTTGCTAATAGCTACTGTGTATTTGATGCTTACATTTGTGTCTTGCCGCCCCATGTCTATTCATCCTGACAATAATGCTGTTATGACATCCTATTTTTCAGATGAGAAATGAGGTCTTTCTTTGTTTGCTTTAATTGCATAAATTTATTTTTGTTTGCCTAAGCAACACTACGATACTTTTCAATGCACAGTGGTAATTCTAAGGATGTCATAAATTACCATTTGATATCATCAAAACTGTGAGGTTGAGATAGAATGCTAGTCATTAAATTGTTAACCAGGATATTGTGTCCTGATTGGAATGCTCACACTGTGAGACTGTTGGTCCCAAGTGGGGCCTCTCTTTACAGGCTTAGTTGGATAGATTTTAGGAAGAAAAGAAATGAAGTCACTGGTACTGGGATTTGCTGGAAATGCTTCTCATCTTTGGGTTCCTTTTTCCATTGGCAACACCTTGCAAAAAATATTTGGAGACACAGATATACAAGAATTGCTGTTAGAAGAATATGAATTTTATCTGTCTGACCAACATTTATTAAGGACCAGTCATTCACAAGTACTGTACCAAGCTTTGCAGAATGCTGGATGGAGAACTTTAGTCGCCCTTCCAGACTGTCCTGCTTCACTCCTGCTCTGCCAGAACCAAGAATGCAGATGCACATATATGTATACACATATATATATGTATGTATAGCTGTACGAGTTATACGTATGTACCAATATATGTATAACTAACCAACTTGATCTTCAAACGTATAAGGCATACAGAAATAAGCAAATGAAGCTGTAATGAAATAGACCCATGTAATAAATGAAAGAGATTTCTAATACCAAGGAACATTAACCATTTAAATTCCTTTAGTTTTAGAATTATAACATAAATATCATTGCACTTTCCTTTTGAGGATAAGTTTTAAACATAACCAATGTGGATTAAATTTCTTAATTTTGAAATTTTTGAATGACAAAAAACTCAATCATCATGTGATGTTTCAATGCATATTCTCACTGTAATAACAGAGTAAACATGTCTTTTAAACAGTTAACATTATAATACCAAAATTCAAAATCATTTCTTCTAGTTAGACACATATACAATACCTTCTCGTTATCCGTAATTCTCCCGCTGTGCAGCAGAACCCTGGAACTTCTTACTACTGTGTAACAGTAGCCTAGTACTCATTAAAAAATAGCCTTTCCCCATCTCCCCTTTCCTCTGCGTTTCCCAGCCGTTGATAAACTATCATTATGATCTTAACTTCTATGAGATGAACTTTTTAAAAATTCTTTATACAAATAAAATCCTGCAGTACCCGTCATCGTGCTTGGCTTATCTCACTTAACATAATAGCCTCAGTTTCCATCCATGTCTCTGCAGTTATGAAGATTTCATCCTTTCATGGCTGAGTAATATTCCATGTGTGCAGCCACTGCATTTTTAGTCCATTCATCGCTTTGTGGACACTTAGGTTGTTTCCATTTCTTGACTGTCATGGATAGTACTGCAACAAACAAAGTGGAGAAAATTATTTTCTTTCCCTTGAATATAAACTCAATATAGGGATTATTAGGTCATATGCTAGTTCTGTTTTTAATTTTTTGAGGAATGTCCATACTGTTTTCTACCCTGGCTGTTTTATTTACATTCTCACCGGCAGTATGTAAGGATTCTCCTTTCTCTACATTATCACCAGCCACGTGTCTTTTGTGTTTGTGATAATAGTTAATCTAACGGGAGCAAAGTGATACTTCCTTGTGTTTTTGATATGCATTTCCCTGATGAGTACAGATGTTGAGCAGCTTTATGAGCACTTGCTGGCTTTTGTATGTCTTCCTTTGAGAAACATCTGACTTTGTGATTATGCCTTTAGTTATAATGCCTGCCTCCCTTACTGGAGTGCTGGCTCCAGTTCTAGCTTCCTGCTTCTGTGCACTCTGGGAGGCAGCAGGTTGATGGTGAAAGTGATTGGCTCATTTCCACCCACATGGGGAAACCTGAATTGAGGTCCCAGGTCCCAGTGTTAGCCTGGCCAGGTCCAGAGGAATGTTCTCTGCCCCCACACCCCAACACCACCACTTCCTTTCTCTCTTTCCCTCTCTCAAATTAAATTTTCCCATTTTTAATTGAATTTTTTACTGTTGAAATTATTTGAATTACCTGTAAGGTTACACTTCACAGATGAATAACTTGCAAATATTTTCTTGCTGTCTGTGGATGCTTTAGAAAAATATACTTACCATCAAACAACTGGTCATATGTTGCAGTTAGTCTGTAATGAGAAAGTTTGGTGAACTGAAAAACCAATTACTTTATAAAAGGTAACTTTTCAGTAAGTTATTATTTTTGTTACATTTTTTAATATCATTTTATGATACAGTTCCATATGCTCCTGGCATTTGCCTTAACCCCTCCCCAATTCCATCCCCACCACCTAGTTCCTCTATATCATTACTAAAATATAGTTCTTCATACACAGTCATATGTGCATCATTACAGGCATGGACAGTGGCAGAGAATCCAGCATCCTTTTGTCAAGTTATAATGAACAGTTTCATTGGGAGTCCATCTTTGTCTGGAAGCAGAAATGTATACTGCACTGCATTCTCACATCTGGATGTTAGTCTCCATTTCACAGTTACTGTACATCCCCCAAGTGAAAAGTGATAATACAATATCAACAATAGAAAGAAAATAGAAGCTTACAGTGCCATGAAGTTAAATGACATGTTACTAGATATGACAGTCTCCATTACACAACTACTACACATCCCCTTAAATGAAGAGCCACAAAACAAAATCAACATCAGGAGAAAAAAGAAATTAACAACACCATGAAGTTAAATAACATGCTATTAATGACTAATGTGTAGCTGAAGAAATGAAAATCAAGAACCTTCTTGAAGAAAATGATGCTACTGTATAATCTACGAGTCATTGAATGCTTTAATCAGAAGAAAGTGTTTTGAAGACATGAAACCAACAGAAAACAGCAAAATCCATGTGATATAGTTTCTGCTGATTTTTGTTGGTGAAGTATGTCTCTTCTAGTCAATAAATAGATGTTTCGTGTTTTAATCCAGTCTACTAATCTATGACATTTGAATGAACTTAAGCAATTTACATTCAGAGTTTAATATGCATGCGTGGTACCTTGGTCCTGTCATTTTAGGAATGGGCTGTTCATTGGTTTAGTCTTCTGTTGTCATTTTATTGGGATGTTCTTCCTGTTTGCCTTTGGTTTTGGCAGGTGCTATTCCTCTTCTCTGTCAAAAGAACATCTTGAAGTATCATTTGTAGGGCAGGTTTAGAAGAGGCAAATTCTCTTAACTTTTCTTTACTGTGAAAGAATTGTATTTCATTTTCTAAGACAAAAGAAAACTTTGCTGGATATGTTGTCCTAGGCTGATGATTTTATTCTTTTTGAATCTGGAATATGTCACTCCATTCTCTTCTGGCCTGTAGAGTTTCCTGGGAGAGATCTCCTGTGAGTTTAATTGGCAATCCTTTATATGTCAGTTGATTTTTTTCACGTGCACATTTCAGGATCTTTTCCTTATGTTCAATTGAAGAGAGCTTGATGATCATGTGTCTTGGTGAAGATCCCTTTTGAGCAAGCCTGTTGGGAGTTCTGTGTCCCTCCTGGATCTTGTTTCCCAATTCTTTCTCCAGATTAGGGAAATTTTCCTTGATCATTTCATTAAATACATTTGCAAACTCAGCTTCTCTTTCTGCACCTTATGGGTCTCCTATAACTCTTAGATTTGGCCCCTTAATAGTGTCTTTCAATTCTTGAATACTTTTTTTGATCTGATCCAGCTCTGCTTCCAGCTTTTTGTTTGCTTTCCCATGATGACAGGAGATACCTTCCAATTCTGAGATTCTTTCTTCTGCTTGCTTCATTTGCTTCATTCTATTTTGGAAACTTTCCACTGTACTTTTAATTTGCTCTGCTGTGTTCTTAATTTCTGATATGTCAGCCTTGATTTGATACATTGCCTCCTTAAATTCTTTGAACTCTTTTATGTGCTTCTCATTGTTGATCAGAAGCTTTGAAATGAGTTTTGTGAATTCTGTGTCCCACATTTTCTCAATGTCTTCCTTAGTGAACTCTGAGGTTGGCATAGGGTTTTGCTCCTTTGCAGGGGAGTTTTCAGTAATATTCATTGTGCCTTTGTCTCTTCTTTTGCTCTTGGTCATTGTACTTCTGGTTAGCAGAGTCTTCTCCTTGGGGCAGGTTTCTAAGCTATGTCACCCACAGGGCTACAATGTTATTTTACTTATTGCAGTTGGTACACAACTCTTTGCTTGCAGCCACTTGTGCCACAACCTCCAGCGAGTTCCAGGTCTGGGTTCTTATGTCAGATTTCCACTGTGGTCTCCACAGCCCCAACTCCTGGCTCACCACTCTCCACCTCCTGTGATACCGTGCTGAGGCTGCACTATTGTCTCTGCAACCTTTCTCCCACTTTCAGTTGGAGCAGGTTCCAGGATTAGAGAGACAGCAGGTATCTGGTATAGCTAGGTTTTTGGTGGCACTGATCTTGCCGGAACTTGTTGGATGTTAGGTCTTGGTGCCACACGGACCTATTTTGACCCATACGATGCCACACTCAATATTATTTCCCTGTGGGACCAGTGCAATCCACGGAACTCAGTGAGTTCTTGTGAGCTCAGCACATGCGCAGTTCACTGTTTTCCCCTGCAGTCCTAAAGCTATTGTTATAGTGTACAAAATGGCACCTGACACACCACTACTACAGTTCTTGATCTGCTGGCCATCAGGTCTGAGGGCTACCCAGACCTGTCTTGGGTGGAACCCGTGGAATGCCACATTGATGCAGTTTGCTGAGTCAGAAATGAGTTCACTCCCAGTTCAGCATATGCTCAGTCCTTTCCCTTGCTTTTTCCTCCTTACGCAAAATGGCACCAATTCAGCTCTAATGGGCTGACTGGGTTGTGAAATCCACCCTGTTCTTGCACTGCCTGTCTGGGATCTGCTGCTCTGTCTCTGCTCCTGGTCAAATCAAACGGACCAGCAGGATGGACAGTTCTTTGCGTTTATTTCCCAAGCTCCCAGTGAAAGTCCTTTCCCACCTTGTTGCTGGTGGAGTTCTGGCTGCTGGTGGAGTTCAGATCGCCGTTAGCTGAATGCTGCAGGAATATCAGTCAATGCAACACCACACCATTGTGTCTGCTGCTTTCCTGTGTCTGTCAGTCTCCAGGTACCCCTCTGTTGTTGTTCTGTCCTCTCCTATTTCCTGGAATGTGTCCTCTCTGCTTCATCCTGATAAAAAGTTTCTCCATCCGTTCAAACGTGTCCTTACCCTCTTTCACCATCTTGATTCTCCAACTTTTAAGTAAGTTCTTACATAAGTAGGTGAGTAGTCAAGCCTAGTTTGTTGTTAAGCCAGTTCTTCCTTAACCCAGTCCTTTGTCCCTATAGTTAGCCTTCTCTGTCCCCTGTTGGATCAGGCCCAGTACCTTATACTTCCTCTCCTATCTTTAATTTCAAAACAAAACAAAACTTCCTTGACTCACAATTGTTTGCTATAATTACATTTTTTCTCTGTATTTAGAGTAAAACTTGAAGAAGCTAATTTTTACCACCATTTCTATCTCCAGGCATTCGACATTTCTAAATCCAAGAACATGTCTCAGACTTTAGGAACTTGACCATGAGATACTGTGTTCCTTTGACGTCTGCTCTTAGGGCCTGTAGCTTACTCTGGTTTCCTAGTAGTTTTTAATCTCTTTTCAATCTTTTGTTTCTCAGAATCAGTTTCTCTTCTTGTGCACAATTGACATTTTCAGCTGGATAGTTTTTTGTGACAGGGTTGTCAAGTGAGCTACAGCTTCTGGTTAGGTGAACATGATTTGTAACAGGAATGAAACAGCTATTAACTGCCATATCAGTCGGTGCCACACAATTCTACACGTATCTTTGGATTTCCTGTTGTTATCTAAGGGAGCACTACACTTGGGAATAAACTTAGAATTGCTTTATGATAAACATGGAATTTCTGTTAAGCTGTGCATCTATCTGATCTAACATCGTAACACAAAATGTGATGGATTATTCTTTCTATTTAGATGTTTGGAAACTGGACATTTGGCACTTTGGTCTTCACAGTCATGGTTATTACAGTGACAGTAAAGGTTAGTACTGAAACTACAAACTTAGACACATTTGTGTTTGTGTAATTAGTACTTACATGATTTTATTTCTTTTGTTGCAGATATTTTGCTTTTTAAGCATTTAGTAATTCTCACTGATGACACTTTTAACTAATTCATTTAAATTTTGTCAAAAAATGGGCCAGTACTGTGGTGTAGTGGGTGAAAGCTTCCACCTGTGGTCTTGGCATCCCATGTGGATGTTGGTTGAGTCCTGGCTGCTTCGCTTCCCATCAAGCTCCCTGTTAATGTGCCTGGGAAGGCAGCAGAAGATGGCCTGGTTCCTGAGTTTTATCTAAAACTTTAAAGCTTTACTGTTTTAACCTTCTAAGGATTTTTTATTATTTATCTTCTAGATGGCTTTGGAAACTCATTTTTGGACATGGATCAATCATCTTGTTACCTGGGGATCTATTATATTTTATTTTGTATTTTCTTTGTTTTATGGAGGGATTTTCTGGTGAGTAACTATACTATATTTTGATTATATTGATTCAACTATAACAAATGCTTATTGTGATGATTTTAGTATGCTTATTGTGATGAAGTTTTACTCAGGAGATTTTTGATAACCATGCTAATTATGAAGTCATTATTTCATTTGAGCTTACCAACATGAAAGTGTGGGGGGAGGACTAACATTTATTGAGTAAATTATAGAAGTTTGACATAAGGTATTATATGACAGTGGTCTTACCCCATTTTTCCTATATGGAAACTGAGCTCCATGGACACAAAGGGAAAAAAGTAGCAAACTTGGAATTTAAAGCTCAGTTGTTTTACTTACAATGAGTATTTCTTTTTATTAACCATATTTCCTCCAAATCTAATTATGTGTAATAAAATATGTCAAACAGAACCATTTCACTTTTGTTGTTAGGTTACTGTCTCTGACAGATAGATAATATACATCACCTTCATTGGTAGAATCAGAATCTTAGCTAGCTGTTCTGATCTATGAAAAATGAACACTTGGCCTGAGAGTCTGTGTTGAGTGAGGGACACCTGATATCTCTCTGTTAGACAGTTTGTATTACGTTTGTTTGCTGTGCCTTTGTTTCATTTATCAGGCAAAAACCACCAAAAATAGGCAAAAAGAAACCTTGAATTAACTGAACACTAACCTCCATTTTGGATTATAAAAGAATATGCTTATGAATATTTTTTATAACCCTCTTAGTTTCCTCATTTCTTGGTGTCCCCATATTCTTTTGATATGATATACATTAAAAAAGCAAGACAAATAGAATCCAAAAAAGGTGATCTTTATAATACCTACTATTGATAAATAGTTTATTTTTGTGTGAATGAGTTTATTTTAAAATGTTTTTAAAGAAGAGCCTGTGAATAAAGCAGTATAAGAAATAAATTGAAAATATGTTGTCAGTTTTCTTCGTCTCTGAATCTGAATAACTACATTTCTCTTCTCCTGTCCTACCACTAAGCCAGGGTTATCTGATCAACTGCTTGCACTTTCCCATTAAGGAAAAAACAGTTATCTCTAAAAACAAATGAAATTGATTTTGTTTTTTTTTTTAATATTTTGTGCTTTAATTATTCAATTAATTATAATGATGTACAATTGGAACATTTTCCTAGACTGCTCTTAAAACTGTTACTTTCAACTATCCTGTGTTTGTGTGATTCTTGTCTTTGAGTTTTCACTTTCACGAAGCTCACTGTCTCTCTTTGCAGGCCATTTTTGGGCTCCCAGAATATGTACTTTGTATTTATTCAGCTCCTGTCAAGTGGCTCTGCTTGGTTTGCCATAATTCTTATGGTTGTCACATGTCTCTTTCTTGATGTCGTAAAGAAGGTATTTGACCGACAGCTCCATCCTACAAGTACTGAAAAGGCACAGGTAATCACCTTTTATATTCACTCTTTGAAAGAACTGACAGAAATGAGATGCCAGAGCCACAGGTGTAAGATTAGCATGCTAAACCATCGTGCCAGCCCCCATGTTACTCTGTTGTTAACAAAGGTATGAACCAAGTTTTTTTGACCTAAATAATCTTTGTAGATTGGACTTTCACAAAGTATATTCTCTCACTAAGAATTACTAATCAGTGTTGAACTGCAGCAAATATTGACACTATGCTTCAGAATATGAGACTAGCAGGATCTCATTTCAAATCCAAGCTCTGCCACTTAGTGATTTTATGACTTTGCATCTCAGCTTCCTCACTGGGAACATTATTAGAGAAGTCTCTTTCCCATTTTCTTTGTGATAAGAATTAAAAGACACATAGTAGATGGTCAAGAAATGGTAACTGCTAATTGAATATATAGTTTGTATATTTGACTAGTACAAGGGCTAGAAATCTATCCCAATTTGTCCTTCTTACTATATCATAGTTTTGAGTAATGTATCCTGAAGATTACATTCTAATTAATGCTTATACCTGGCAAATATTAGATTGAGATTTTTTTCCATGTCTGTTTCATAACAAGCAGATTTTGCTTAAATTTGGGAGATTTAGGTATAGATTCATCCTACAAATAGAAAATGTATTTCCTAAATAGTGCATTGGTTTTAATTGTTGATCATATTAACAATATTTCATCAACATTTATTTGCTTTGATAACTTAATCCTAGACATGTTCAATTTAAACACCATTGAGGCAGCAAAGCATTGAGCAGTCAAGTGTAATTCAGATGCCGTTTCAATCATTCATAAGACATGTATCTATGATCAAGTTACCTCACTCAACATCAGTCTCCTCCTCTGTAACATTTGAATACTCCTTACGTGACTGTGAGAGACAGGAACACCTGACCCCACACTGCCTCTGTAAGCTGGCATCAGTGAAGAAGTTGTCATTGTACGTATGAGGAGGATGCTGATGTCGCTCTGTGGTAACTGATCTCCATGGGGGGCTGAGAATGTTCACAAATCCTGATTCCTCTGTCTGCCTAAGGTATGTAAATGCTGCCGTCAGTGGGGACAAACTTCTTCTCTACAGTGTGTTGCCTAAATGTATTCAGAAAGATAAATCATACTCTTTTTGATACTTTTTTAATACACTTTTTAAAAAGTGTATAATACTTTTCTTACACCTTTATAGTCAGCCATTTGTCTTCCCTTTGTGGCTGCTATAAAGTTTTATTTCACTAAAGTCTATCACTGATACCACTCTTAAAGCTTTTTTTTAAGGTTTATTTATTTATTTATTTTTTACTTGAAAGAGTTACAGAGAGAAGTGAGGATCTTCCTTCTGATTCACTCCCCAAATGGCTGCAAATGTCTGAGCATAGCGAATCAAATCAGGAGCCAGGGGCTTCTTCTGAGTCTCTCACGCAGGTGCAGGGGCCAGTGCTTTGGGTCAACCTCCACTGTATTCCCAGGCCACCAACAGGGAGTTGGATTGGAGGAGAAATAGTTGAGAATTGAACTAGTGTTAGTATGGGATACCACGGCCACATGCTATTACACTGCCTTGGCCTCAAAGTTAAATTTCTTCTTCTATTTTAAGATTTATTTTATTTTCATTGGAAAGTCAGATTTACAGGAGACACAAAGTTCCTCCATCTGCTGGTTTATTCCCCAAGTAGCTACAACGGCTGGAGCTGAGCCAATCCAGAGCCAGGAGCTTCTGCTAAGTCTCTGCAGAGTCTAAAAGCTTTGGGCCGTCCTCCACAGCCTTCCCTGATCACAAGCAAGGAGCTGGATGGAAAGTGGAGCAGCCGAGACATGAACTTGTGCCCACATGGGATCCTGATGCATGCAAGGCTAGGACTTTAACCCCTGGGCCACCATGCTGGGCCCCCAAAGTTTAATTCTGTATAAAAGTAAATACTTGGATTTATTCTCATTTGTCCTTAGAAATTCTTTGCTAGAATTTTTGCAAACTTATGAGATATATTCATTGAAATTTTTTAATGATAAAAAAGGAATTATGTTAGTTTTAAATCTTTGGTATAACCTCTTTTTTAAAGGATTTCGTAGAAAAATGTTTAGTACTTTAAGGTGGGCCCTTACACATGATAAACCAAAATTGATTAGAAATTGAATGGTAATAAATCATTTAATCTGTTTATAAAATCCAGTAGAATCTCCCTTTTTGGTTCACTAAATTCACTTCCAAATGACTTAGCCAGACATTCTAGGTTATCTAATCCAAGAAGGAAATATTTATACTCAGGAGCCATTTACCCTGCTGTGAAGTTTTGGGTTATTTGTTTTCTTATTTTACTTAAATAGTGCATGATCCTTTAAGTCCTATACATTATTTCTTTGCTACAGGAAGTAATGAATGTATAGCCTTATACCATCACTCCTGATTTTAAGTAATGGAGAAATAAATGGTTAACAACTCAGCTATCTTACTGTTTACCAAAAGTAGCAAGAAAAATGGTATCAAGAGAAAAGCTGTCAGCATTTATACTGGGCTTTTTTTTCTCCAGAATAATGATGTGGTGTTAAGAATGAAAAGTAAATTCTTTTGGTGACAAACTAACAGCCATACAAATGTCGGTTATGTATGATATTACCTACTTGTAGGAACAGTTGTACGGTATTTGCAAAGCTTGTCCTTGTCTGTCTCATAGGTGATGAATGCAGCTCACTGACCTGTTGTGTGTCCCATCCCTTTTCTGTCCACTTATAGATGTACTCCAACACAGTTGCTTTAAGTGACGAGTTCATCGCACTGCAGCCTTTGTCGAGGGCAAGGAATCAGCTGAGCAAACTTAGGTAGAGTAGGCGTAGAAGCTCGTTAACTCTTCTGCATGCTAAAGGTCAATTAAACAGTCTCCAAAGATGGGCAGAGGCATGACAAAGAGTGGGGCAGCTTTGTTAGCACAGCTCTGTCTCTGGTTAATTTGACCTTTACTAATAATGTATGTAAAACCTAAAAAAAAAATTTTCTCCTTTGAGAAGAAATTCATATGAAAATTCAACATGATAACAAGACAGAGATCTGTTATCTGGGTTTATTTTTCTTTTCTAATTTGTTTTTACTTTAACTACCTTTTCTAGCACAGTTCTAATGCTTCTGCTTGTCATGTTATTCACATTTATGAATGCTTCTGCATGTTGGGTAATTTAAGCTTTACAAATTATCATAAAGTTTACACTTTTAAGATGTAGTTACATAAAGGTGAGAGTCGTTAATTTTTTATCTTGCCTTAATCTGTGTTGTAAATACATGTGCATATTTGTGTTTGTACAGTAGAATGGCTGCCAAAGTATTTCATATCCTTGCTACTATTTAGTGCATCTATAAATTGAACAGTATGTTTTGTATGTCTTCTATATACCTGTATCTCCACAGACTTCTTGTTTTTAAACTGACTGAGCAGTATTCCATGGAGAGTTCAACTGTTTACTCTCATGACAGGAAAATTGTATAAATGTTAGATATCTTTAAGAGATTTCAAATTTTAATCACGTTAAAAAGACATTAGCATAAAACTGTTAACAATTTTTTAAATTAAATATTGAGTATTTCCCCTCCCCCTGTGTTTTAAACAAAACTTTTAAGCTGTCATCACACAAACTTACTATACTCTTGAAACTAAGGAACTTTACTACTGTATTTTCATTTATATAAAAAATTAACCACAACGTTTTTATAATAATAGTTACTAAATCAGTCCTAATTCTGGGAAAACACAAATAAGGCATTGTTTTTTGCTTTTTCATTGTGGACAGTGTCTCATAACTTAATAAGGATTAAAATAAAGATGGCTACAGGTACGTTTGTAATAAACTTCCTTAGAAGGTCTCTAAAGTAAATATAAATTTGAAAACCAACAAACAAATTCATATAAATTAATTGACCTTCACCAAACATATTTCAAATGAAGAATTAAATTTATTACGTGAGCAAAATATAGCCCCTTACCCACATATCTATAACATTGTCAGACCATGTGACCCATTGACTCTGTCAAAGTGCCATTGGAGTACTTTGCTGATCAAGGAGCTCTATCTTTACACTAAGAACCTTTGCTGTAAGGGAGCTCTTACTATCTTTTTAGTAAGAACCCTTAATCTTGATGGCAATCAGTCTGATAGAAGAAACTCAATTTTATAGAAGGAAACCTACTTGGTTTTAACTTGGCTTTGGGCACTGAGAAATTGTGGATTTGTGTGCCTTGTGGGATTGCCCTGAAGAAGCTCTGTTTGCTCTTTTGTGGTAGTAAATGTGCTTCTGTGTGAACGTGATTTGTGCCTCAGTTTGTGGACTTAAAGCTTATGGCTTTGATTGTGAACGTGTATGGTGAGAGTGTCATTCTGTACTATGAGACTTACTGCTTTTCTGTCCTTCCAGATGGAAGAAGATAAGGGTTCAGTCAGCTCAGCATATGAATTTGCTGAAAGCCAGCACAGAGGGGAGGACAGTAGGCACCTGCTAGCTGAGGCATGCAGCCAGCAGGCCAGTTGTTGCGTGCACTAGGTAGTACTGCACTGGACCTTCCTGGGGATCATCTGCTAAGTCTTTGTGCTTGGGGCATGCCATGGGAGAAGTGACCCAACATTGCCACCTTTACTTTACTAATGTTTCATTGTTTCTCATATGTAGTTTTGGTTTAATTGTTTTCTTGTTTTGTTGTGCTTATATTTTTTAAATGTCCATCCATGAGTCCGTCAGTCTTTCTTTGGAGCTACAATGATAAATCATACTTTACCTCACAGTCTAACGCAGAACACTTTGAACCTTTTATCTTACATTCAAGGAATCATTCCTTTTCACTTCTCCCTTTGAAAATATATCATGCTATTTCTATTATTTCTGGCCTCTTTTTTCTCCTTTGAAATGTAGTTATGAATGATCATTTTATACAGCTTAATGTAGTCTCACAAAATTACTTACCCATCTCTTGAGCTGAATGATCAAATGGATAAGTACAG